TATATTTTTAATTTATTTTTTGTTGTCAAATATTTTGTGGATTTATATATATAGTGGACCGTCGTTTAACGAACGAATTAAAAAAAATTATGCACCTAAATTGCATGCAAAATTGTGCTAAAAAATGCTATGACGGACAGTGGACAGCAATATAATATGTATTCGGAGTTTCCTCTACTTCGTTGTTTAACATATACAGAAATTTTGCATACAATAAATTTGAGAAACTTTTTGTTGGACGAAAATATTGTTCATTTAGCGAAAAGTTTCTTATCCAAAAAAATTTGTATTTATTAATTTTTAAATTTAGTTGGACTTTGATTACTTATTACTCCCACTACCTGCAAAAACTACTTTTGTTAAGCTAATTAATTGATTATTATGATTAATTATTATATGTTAAAAATGTTAAAGACATAGAGTACTATGTCATTAGGACCTGTTGTATTTCTACTAAGATATATTTACGATGGCTCCCCACTGGCTATCCTCCGTGCAAACATTGTTTGAAAACTTTTCCCAACTTTATTTAAAGTTGAATGCTCAAAATTGATGCGTGCCGAAACCACAAAGTCATTTCGTGTGTGCCAAGCTCAAGAATTTTTAATAAGCTTGCCAGACTTAAAGCCGAAAACGGCAGCAAATCATCTTAGCGCTCACACATAGGGCTTTGAGCGAGTGTGTGTGCTTGGCTGACGGAGCCACAGAGACAGAGTCACAGGCCAATGTAATGGACACCCACAACGTGGACGACTGGACGCATGTGCATTTCAGGCAGCAGCAATATTAATATCTGAAATATTTTTCCATACTGGAAAAACTGAATGAATGAAGCGTTGCGGATGCGAAAATTGATGAGTGAAATTCCGCGTGTGCACGCGGTGGCAAAGTGGCGGGCATATGTGTCATCTATGGCAGCCCAACAGCCCAGCAGCCTAGCAGCCTAGCAGCCCACCCACTGCCCAAACCAGGGATAAGAAAAACGCGTGCCGGCAGCAACTGTTTTGGTTGGCCAGCAGCATCCGATGGGGGTTGCTGAGAAAGTGTGCAGCTCTGAGCGTGTCTGTGTGTGTGTGCAACTGAGAGAGTGAGAGAAAGAGAGTGGAAAAAGACAGAGAGAGACCGACAATGAGAGTGAGAGTGAGAGAGAGAGCGAGTGGTTGATGTCCTAGCAACCACCAGGCTGTGCGGCTGCTATAGGGTGGTAGGCGTGCGGTGGCAGCAGAGCGTCTGAATGATTGGCTGCGTTGCCTTGACGCCGACTGGCAGTCAGCATCTGGCATCTCGCTCGCACCAGGCACATCTTCGGGCTGCTGCCGACACTTGTTCAGATCCCAGAAAATACGACTTTGAGCCCGGAATTAGCTGGCGCCGCTTGAAAAATAAAACGCTGCTCCGGCCATCTCCAGCTCCAATGCCGATGATGATTGAGGGGTTGGGTTGGATTATTTGCTACGCGACTACGGCGAGGATATGCTGCTCTGCAGGTTGCCAACGGCAAGGGGTGGCTGGGCGCAAGTCATAACAGGCAGCACAGCACCCATCCGCCCACATTGCCTACAGCAACAACAACAGTAGCAGCAGCAGCAGCAGCAACAGCTATACCCCTGCCAATACCACCACCAGGAGCACCGCCGCCACCACCGCCGCTGTAATTTAATTCGTTGCTGCGCCGCCGCCGTCATCGCCATCGCATCATTATTTTTCGGAGGCATATTGCTAGGATAACATTTGATTTCGAGTTCAGTTGTAATTCTACCGTGCATACGTTCTGGTTGCTCTTGCTCCGTTGCTACGTCACAGCGTTGCCACGTCCTATTACCGCCATTACATCGCCAGGGGCCACCCACCGCCACCATTGTTAATAGCAGCAGCCACAGCAGCAGCAGCGGCAGCAGCGGCAACAGCAAGTTGTGCGGGCATCTTCCGAATTTCACTTTCAGTTTTCGTTGTCTCTGTGAAACAGTTGCCCAAAGCAACCGGTCGACAGCATCTCGGCTTACAGTCAGCGGTCTGCTTACGCTTCCGGACATGTGACTGCTGCTGCAGCAGCTGTTCCAGGCACCCTGACCACACGTCCCACATTTGGCACCACAGTTTACTCATTTGCGAGCTGCCCACTCGAATTAAAACTAAACGAATGCATTCGCGATTCGGCTTCGACTGCCAGACGCGTCACCAACAGCAGCAGCAACACCTACACCATCAGCCCCAGCACCAACACCAGCAGCAACAGCAACAGCACCAGCAGCAGCAACAACAGCAGCAGCTCCACCATCAGCATCATCTTCTTCCCGAATTGGATATCACGACACCGCCGCCGATCAGCGCCGCTGCCTACACGAATCTCTTGGAAAAGTGTCGCTGCAAACTGCAGTCCCAGTCCCAGCACCACCACAACCACAGCCAATATCAGCAGCAGCAGACGCTACCGCAACATCACCACCAGTTGCTGCCGCAGCACCAGCAACAGTTGCCAGTGGCGGCGCCGCTGCCAGCCGCCCAGCTGCAGCTGCAACTGCACCACCATCACCATCATCATCACCACCAGACGTTCGTGGCCACCGCCAGCGCCGTTAACTACAGCAGCTGCACGGCCTTAGGTGCCGCCGCCGCCGCCGCCGCTGCCGCCTCCTCCTCCGCGACCTCCAGCTCGTCAGCAGCATCTACTGCCATGTATCACCATCACCATCATCGACGCCACAACAACTTGTCCTATTGCGGTGGTAAATATTTTGCATGGCCAACACCTTCAGCTCGAATCCTATCAATGGCTTTTAATTGACGTTCTCATCGGTCTGTGTGCATGTGTGTGTGTGCGTGTGGTTGTATCTCTGTGTGCGTTTGTGTGCCAAGGAGCTTGGGCCATCGAACAAAGGTGTCAAGTGTCTTGCTCATGCATCATTGTGCATGTTGAAAACTTTAAAGTAAATGAAAAGCTGCATCTGCTGTCAGACATGTTCGAACTGTGAGCAAATCAAACATTTAGTGGGCGAAGACAAACTACCCACAGTCCCATTCCAGAAATGTGAATGTGTGCTTTGAAATGTGAAGTCAACTCGAAATGTTATCAATGGAGTTCGGCGATCAAGCTCCATTTAGGAGTTGAGTGAATCAAAAGTATTTAACATAAGAAACCTGAGGATACAGATCCTTTATCAGTTCTCGAAAAGGAAACCGAATTGTCCCCAAATTTGTTCCTTTTAAAACTGTTAACCATGAAGTTTCAGTTAGACAGTCAAGACTAATAAATTTGCTTAGCCAACTTGAATGAATGTAAAAGATTAAGTCGGCATAATAGGATGTACCCTGATTCAAGATTCAAAAGAATAAAGTAAAATAATTTTTTACGAAAAAAATGTGTGTCCACGCACATTTCAATCTCATAAAGACTTCTGGATAATCACAATAAAATAGCATATGTATCACCGGAAAAAAAAAAAAAACACCTTTCAGCGTCTGATCGGTTCCTCAAAGCACCACAACCTAGCGTCAGCTTGATTTCTATGTGCTAAACCGACATCTAAAGTAGCCGCTGACAATCCAAACAGATTTCAATGACCATTAAGATGCTTTGAATAGAAAACAAATGCTCACATTTTAATGTGTGCACTTGAGTAGAGATATTGCGGTCTGTGTTACTTGACGCATTCTTACGCAAATTCTCAGCCAAATTATGTACATATTTGATAGAATATGTCACAATTTAGTACAAATTTCAACTCTCTCACACATTGGTCACGTGTAGTATAAAATATGCTTGAAACTTAATGCGAAATTGCCGGACTCTACATCTAAAATTGCCTAAATATATAACTGAATCTATATAAATTTTCAAGTGTAACCAATACCACAAAAGATAAAAATGTTCAATTCCTCTAATGATTACCCTGATTTTGTATGATTCGAATTTCGAAAATGGATGGACAAATAATTGAGACCTGTGTTTGGCAAATATACACATCCGGATGCAATGAATTTCGAATAGTAAAGATTTGAGTAAACTACGCACTTAACAGAACGGGTGTTAATGCAGCAGTTCAGGTATTTCCTAGTCGGGTCCTAATGCTACAATGATAGTAACTTACGCGCTTTAACTGATTTTCTTTGGGTTCAGATACATTTTATTGAGCCTTAAGTGTTGAATATGATATGATATGAATATGTTATGAAAACTATATTGGAAATTTTCAAATATAGCCCGCAAAGCACGGATTTAATCATAATTACTTAGTTTTGTCACCTAATTAAATAGAAATCATAAATTCTGTGCGTTTTCAGCAGTTCCAATGGCCATGAATGCCTTATAGAGGGACTCGATTGAAATAATCTCTAAGAAATTGGATTATCATTGTCTTGCCCTCCGGTTCCCGGTGGCTTTTTCCTTTACTGTTTTAAGTTTTGAGATCTATCGGGGTTATTTTTACCGGAAGTAAATTTATATTTTATTGAAAGTACACGTTGATACTATAACACGTCTATCATTTAGTTCACTTAATTTCCATCAAGCGTCTCGTGTTTAATGCTCCAATCATTTGCAATTATATCATTTTCAGTTTCCGGACAGGAGCAAAATTATCAAGTGCAATATGTGGACTCGGAGCTGTACCACAGCAACTCCAGCCAGACCCAAATGTAAGTTCATCCTCTCAATTCAACTGCTCGATCTGCCAGTATAACGTTTCGCCTGCCCACAGGACATATCCGTTCTGCCCGGTGGGCGACTACCAGAGCAATGGCCAGACGTATTACTCCACCACGGCGGCGACGGGCAATTACACGACCACGTCGGCGGGCAGCACTGGCAATGCACACTCGACGACGCTGCCGTACCTGGTGCCCGTGGACGATAGCCTCCTGTTGAATGGGTCCTCGCAGTCGCACAGCCGGGACTCGCCGCACAGCCTGACGGTGAGTGAAGTGAAAATGAAAATGAAATTGAAAAACCCAAAACCGAAAACAATCGAGCCATTGTGTGACACTGACTAACGATTGCAGCATGAGGTTGCCTACATTCAGGAGGCGCAGAGCACGCCCCAGACGCCCACCTCGACAACAACCACGAACTCGGCCAGCGGCGGCAGCATCGGCAACGGGGCCGATGGGGCGTCGCCTGACAGTGACCAGAGCGCAATGGGCACCAGCAATAAAATCGCCTCGGCAACGGTGAGTATGGGTCCGTTTTTGCTCCGCCTGTCGCCAACGGCAACAGGAGCAGGAGCAGGAGCAGGAGCAGCAGGAGGAGGGGCAGCAGCAACAGCAGCGTTGCTAACATCTCTCTCGCACAATTGCAGATTAAGTGGCTGTCGCGCAACTACGAGACGGCCGACGGAGTCAGTCTGCCACGGTCCACGCTGTACAACCACTACATGCAGCACTGCAACGAGCAGAAGCTGGAGCCAGTGAATGCAGCCAGCTTCGGCAAGCTAATACGCTCCGTGTTCTCCGGCCTGCGCACACGTCGCCTGGGCACTCGCGGCAACTCCAAGTACCACTATTATGGTATTCGCATCAAGCCCGGCTCGCTGCTAATCCATCAATCCATGGAGGACAAATCTATGCAGGGATACGGCGCATCGCCGGGCAACGGAAACGGCAACGGCGCCATCGCCAATGTCAGCAGCAGCAATGCCAACCAGCTGGGCGGCTCCAATGGCAGCAATGGCATGTCCACATCTTCGGGCCAGCGCACAACCGGGGCTAAGAAGCACAATTTCAAGCCGGAAACCTACGAGGCTTGCATACAGGTATGCACTCCCGGAATACTCCATTTTAATGGATCACTCATTTCGGATGTTTCTTCTGTATTCCAGTATATTGGCGACGGTGCCGGCGCAATGCCCGTATTTCCACCCATCGAACTGAGCCACAGCTTTCACAGCGAACTCACCCTGGACGATGTGGACACATTCCGTGCGCTGTACCGTGAGCACTGCGAATCGTTTTTGGATGCTGTACTCAATCTGGAGTTTGGCACTGTCGAGTTTTTGCTACGCGACTTCTGGCGCACCTCGGACAACAACAATCTGGACGAGTGCGAGGAGGAGAAGTACTTGAGCAAGACGAAGCTGTATCTGTTGTGCCACTGCGCAGAAGTGCAAAAGTTTGTGCGCGAGGTGAGTACAGTGGATGCCGAGAATATTGAATGTATGTGCTCTGGCAACACGGGAACTGTACAGTATAAATCAGATAAATAGGGAGAAGTGAATATAATATGTAAAGGACTTCCATAGTAAGCCTAAATAATATATATGAAGCGGCATTTTAAAGTCGTTTAGGAAAGTAAAGTATATCATATGCTGAGATACATAGTATGTAGGGTTCAATGTGCTTAGGCCCCAGATACTAATGTCAGCACAGGTATTCGCAGGAATAAATGAACTAAATTGTATCTCACCGGGGGTACATGATCGAGAATAGTATTTACTATAACGCGATCTAAATTTTGCTATCAGCAGGGGTATATCATAGTCTGAGGTACAGCTTTAGATATAAAGTTAGCATAGAAAGTAAATTGGGATAAGATAAGTATCATATGCTGAGGAACATGATCTAAAGTAGCTAAAATGTATACATATAAGTATATGCTGAGGTGCATTATCTAAAATATACGATACACCATCGAATGAACACAGTTTAATGTATTCCAAGTGACAACCTCAATAAATGTGGCTAAACAACTCAAACAACATGGTCTAAAGCTAAATAATCAGAAGTATACCATACATAAATCATCCTTGTGATAAGACCTTCAATAAATTTTTAGAAACTCAAACTAAAATTAAATTCCCACTTTAACCAGGTGGACTACCAATTCTATCAGAACACCGTGGACGTTATAATACCGGATGTTTTGCGCTCGATACCCAACGCGCTGACTCAGGCCATTCGCAACTTTGCCAAGAACCTGGAGTTGTGGCTGTGTGAAAGCATGATGGGCGTGCCGGAACAGTTGTCCCAGATCAAGACTAGCGCCGTTTCCGCATTTTGCCAGACGCTGCGTCGCTACACATCGCTGAATCATCTGGCACAGGCGGCACGCGCCGTTCTTCAGAATGGTGCGCAAATATCCCAAATGCTCAACGATCTGAATCGCGTGGACTTTCACAATGTGCAGGTATGTTGGCTAACTTGAGTCCGTAGGCCAAATGAGAGGGAAAATAATTTGATTCTATTGCAGGAACAAGCAGCCTGGGTGAGTCAGTGTGCACCGGCTGTGGTGCAACGTCTGGAGCACGACTTTAAGGCCGCCCTGCAGCAGCAGAGCTCATTGGAGCAGTGGGCCAGTTGGCTGCAGCTGGTCGTCGAGTCCGCGATGGAGGAGTACACAGGGAAGCCGAGTTACGCACGTGCCGCCCGTCAGTTTCTCCTCAAGTGGAGCTTTTACAGCTCAATGATCATACGAGACTTGACGCTGCGGTCCGCGTCGAGCTTCGGCAGCTTTCACCTGATACGACTGCTGTTCGACGAGTACATGTTCTACCTGGTGGAGCACAAGATCGCCGAGGCGCAGCAGAAGACAGCCATTGCGGTTATTTGTGAGCGCATGGTAAGCCCCTTAGCACCCACTAACGAGAGTGCCGTCTATTAACTGTCCACCTTTGATCAGAAGAAGGAAATGGACTTTGAGTTCGAGTGCCAGTTCGCCTACATAACTAGCGACGCGGAGCAGCAGACAGCAGCTAGCTCGGTCAGCGGTCCGGCAGTGGTGGCAGCAGCAGCAGCGGCAGCCGCTGGAGGAGCCCCGAGTGCGGGCAACGAGGCCAAGCGCCTGAAGCAGGAATGAGAAATGAATCGACAGAGTTTTTGTATTTGTAGAATTTGTGTTAACTTAAATTATTCGGCTATACCCATTCGATGTGCACGACTCCCAAAGCAAAGTTCACTTCACCTGTGCATTTAGTAGTCAACGGGATGTTTCTATGTATGTATTCGTGTATTGTTAGGTTGTAGCTTAAGTTCTGCTCAACTGTTAACGTAATCAGTTAAAGTATACATATGTGTGTATATGTATATGTATATATACAGTCAGATATGTAGGCAAATGCATAAGTATTGAAGATGAATTGCCCCCGCATTCAAGTGAAGAACCGTCCAAGCAGCAAGCTAGTCATGCCCCTGCAGCGTTGACCTTGTCTGATGATCTGTTTATGTAATCGCACGAGATGCATTTTAGTTTAGTAAGTACATGTGCATTAGTATTTGTGAACGTAGCGTCTAACTGAACTACTATACTTGTGTTTAGCTCTTAAGGAAAGGCGTATTGTCACAACAGTTTTGTCTGGTTTCAATGATAAATTGTACAGCATAGCGCTCGGCGCATACATGCAAGAAGCACACACATTCACATACACTCACACATATATACAAATATATGTATCTATGTATACAGACGTAGGTACGCACAAGTAAAGATCCACCAAATGCACTAATTGCAAAACTGTATAGATTAGTTAAGAAAAAAAGTTTAGCTCATGCTGAAACGGCTTGCTCAATGCTAAAAGTAATACCTAATTTAATCTAAGTAAACAAACAGGCCTTAAATGTGCAAATATCACACACTCGCTCAACCTTGAGAAAGGAATAACAAGTTTGGAAAAACCGAGATACTGAAACATTTTACTATATACCTATGTGCGTGCATGTGTGTGTGTGTCCGAATACCATCACATATTTATTCAGATACATATATAAATAGTTATTTATATATATATATTGAAAGTGCAACTGAACATTTGTATTGTAATTCCTGAGGCATATACAAAGAGACAAGAACGTATATATATACATATATGATATAAATTGATATATTTTAACAGAGGCACCCAACAAAGTATTTTATGCCATTTTAGGTATTTATTGTAGCAGCAAAACTTTTTGTAAGCCATTCAACTAGATTAGTTCAATGTAAGTGAAATGCAAAGAAACTCTAGTCTTAAACTGCAAGAATTAAAAGAGATCACAAAAGAAAAGAAAAAATCAATATTTTATGTTATTTTCGGCAAGTTCCGAGTTGGAGTCCATATCGAAAATCATTAACAAGCTATGCAACCTGAAGCATATAATACTCTCGGTACATATGGCTCGAGAGCCATATATTTATGTATATTCATATTAATCCCTCTAAATTTTAAAATCTATATGTTTCCCAAAATTGTGTTGTGTGACCTATCTTTAAGGATTGACATTTAAGATATCCCTGCACAATGCGAAGCTCAATGTCATTCAGTTTACCCACAAGCTGTAACTCGGTCCGATTTGGCTTGGCTCAGTTTTTATAGAAACCAAATATCGGACCACAAACCTTTTCGATTGCTCAAGTCAAGCAACATTTATAATAACGAAATATTATATTACGAAATGCATTGCTCAATTTGCAAATACTAAGCTGAACTCTTGAGCTTTATTGGTTGTAAAACAGGAAACAAAATATAACGATAATAATTGAAATATCAATTCAAATCGAATCTACCTATTTATAAATGTGAAAATAAAGATGTCTAAAAAACAACGAAAAAAAAACAACGAATGACTGTATTTATTTGGGGTCAGATGAATTAACGATTGCTAAAGAACACTATTGATGTTTCATCATAGTATTTATTATTTATTTAAAATAATATTTCCCGCTGGGCGTAACCGAAAGACCTCATTACTGAAGATACCAAATATCAGTCTACACACAGATATAAGAGCATATGGAGTACCACACAGCAATACAGATAGTACATAAAGCGAATACGAGTATACTCTTTTTACTTCGTGGAGTGTAGAGTTCATTCATTCAAACATCCTAGGCTGGCCGCATTCCTCAAACGGAATCTGAAGGAGAAAAGATTTCCATCTATGCTAATCCAAAATACATCAAATATAAGCTTTTGACTTATTCTAATAATAATGTATGAGTATAATAACCAGATTAATGTGGATAATATCTACATACATATGCTAATAATATCATAGGACAAGAAAGAATAGCAATATATGATAAACTGAGATACATAAGTGAGCTAATGCGATTCATTCTGACTTTTCTTTTTTAATTCTTATCGAGTAACCTATCTATTATCACGATTTCCTACGGCGTATAATTAGATCATAGACCTCCCCATACGTTGGTCGTAAATTCCTCAATGTTCTTCCGCAGTCCACTTGAAGGCAAGTGCAGGCGGCCGTCATTACAATGCTCATGCTCAATCAGATGTATCCTCTTCTTTATATTATTCTTTTTCGTTTTTTAAGCTTTAAGATCATAAATTTATGTTGATTACAAAAAACATATCAAATTCAGATTCTTAAAAATGAGTACCATATACCTTTAGTTGCCTATATACGAACCAATAACAATAAAAAAAACTTTACAATTATTTTGTTTCTTTTTCTTCTTTTTTTTTTTTTTTTTGGTTTCAATTGTGTTGTACATATTGATTTTCTAACAACTCTATACAAAAATTGTTTATTTTTCTTAAAGTGATTCGATATTTATATATATATTACATATAATATTTATAACTCTAATACAAAATATCTTAAGTCATAATTAATCATGAATAATACAACAAATATGTATGCATGAATATTGTGTCTGTATGTGTGAAGTGGCTATGAAAAAGAAAAGTATGTTTAAATGGAATTGATCGCATTGACTGCTGCTGACTGCTTGATAATCGTTTTTATCGTTTGGTTAATTGACATAATTGTATTTTATCTTATTTCAGGTAGCTTAAAAACTGTTTGTACTTTGTATATTAAATCTGAGGTCCTGAGTCCTGAATATTCGGCTGTTGATTTACGTTCAATTGAGTTCAAGTCTTTTCGTTCGGGGAATTTTGACAATTCGTTTGGAATTCTTACAGTTTTGTGCGGTTTTGGTTGTTTTGGTTGCTATATTATTCATTATATTATAATTAACATACATTTTATTTACATCTAAAATAGTATACATTTCTTTCATAAGAAAAATTATTTACATACACATACATATGTAATATGATGAAATATTTTTAAAATTTAATTGACTCTACATTTTTGAATAATTAAAGAATTCAAATTCTAATAACCTTGTATAGTAAATAGTATATAACATTTATACTTGGCAGCATGTTCTACCAACGTCTGTCTCACGAATACTGGACCGGCAAGTTTTGGATGGTTGTTTTCAACATTACCTACACAAATGTATATATAGAAAATTCGCTGAAAAATGCTTATAAATGCCATTTTTATGTACAGTTAACAATTGTGGAAATACCTATAAGCGATATTTCGTTGTCTGAGGTTTAGATTAGTCATACTTAAATATAAATTCAATTCGTAATTTTTGCCTGTTTCATTTTCTCAACAATTTTTTTTACTTGTTTTGTAGCCCAAAGGCTTCAATTTTTGGAAAGCAATAGTCAAAAGTAATTAATGTGTATGATTATATAATTTTCTTTTTTTGTTTTTGTTTTTTTTTTTTTTGTTGGAGATCAACTTCAAAAACGCTCATTATAGTCAAGATTTTGAAAAACATTTAACACTATTAATGTTTCGTCATTTTTGGATTTCGGGAATTGAAACAATTACAAGTATTATCAAATTGGATGCATTTCTTGAGTTTTCGCCCAAGCGTCAAATTTGTCTTAACCAAACTTTCTAATTATGTGTCAGATATAATGGGAAGTCGTATATCTTATTAATTAATGCTTGCAACATAGACATTTATTTGAAAGCCCCCTTCAATGTACATAGAAATGAATACAAAGCGCGCGACCAAATTGAATATATAAATATGTTTGTATAGAAGTGCATATACAGATATATGNTATGTATATATCTAAACATATATATATGCATGAATATAAAATGACTGCTTAAATAATGCGATTAACCAACGGCATTTTCCGACGATTGTACGTGGGCGGCTGCTGCTGCTGGTGCAGGACTTGATGCACCTGCTGCACTTTAACTTTCTGGCCATACTGCTGTTCCAGCTCACCGGCCGGACCGATGGTGTAGTTGATGTCGAGGCGAGCACGTTTCGGTGACTGATAGCCATCGTTAGCATTTAGATCGGCCGGATTGAGCTCAATTATGTTAGCTGTCTGCCCATTGACTATGCCGTGGCGCACAGTCCGCTTCCCAGTATCGATGTCGATGTCTTCGTACAGTTCGTCAACCTGTCGGAGGAACACGTCACAAATTTCAATGAATATAAAGTTCATTCATTCAAAGATCTATCAATTTTACCACAATATCGAATTCTCCGTTCTTCTGCGAAACGATCAGCTGATGGTCAGGTGGCGGGTGATTGGCTGCTTGATTGTTTGGATCATACTCATGAAGCACATGCTCCTCTTCATCCTCGCTGTTTTCCCAGCTGCGAATCGAAATCAATGTATTATGAATTTGAATATTAATATTTGTTTTTTTCCGACTCACTCAACGTTATCGTTGTCCTCCTCTTCGACAAGCATCGCATCGATCATGGTATCATCGAAGTCATGCTCCTCCAAATCAGAGGACTCCTCGATTTCAGACTGCGAATCCAGCTCCACATCTGAATCAGCCGATCCGTGCTTCATTTCGCCTCGCTCAAGTGCCTCTAAATGCTCGGGATAGACCATCGCGCCGCGTATTGCTCCTGGATCCTTGCGCGACCACTTCTGCACCTCCTCGTCCATCTTGCAGATCCGCTCCGGATTCATGGCCCAACGGCAACCCTTTCGCTGATTGCCATTCGTGGCCGGCCGCTCAATCTTCTCAAAGCACTTGTTCAGCGACAAGTTGTGGCGCACGCTGTTCTTCCAGCCACTGGGCGCATTCTCAAAGTAGGGAAAATGCTGGCACAGGAAACTGTAGATCTCCGACACGGGCAGGGAGCCGGCACGCGAGTTCTTCAGCGCCAGCGCAATGAGGCAGGAGTATGAGTAGGCGGGCTTCGGGAAGGCGCTGCTCATGGCTGCCGGCTTCACCTTCTGCTGCAGCGGCTTGACGATGTTGCTGCCGTTGCTATTGCTGACGCTGCTGTGGATGCCATTGCTGTTACCGTTGCTGAAGCTGGAGTGGCCCAGCGGTGCGAATGACAGTGGCGAGGAGGTGGTGGGCCGTCCAGTTGTCGACGACGAAGTGGAGGATGGCGAGCCAATGCTGTTCTGCACATGCACCTGGTGATGCGGCGAATGGGCCGACGAGGCGATGCTCTTCGGTGCATTGCCACGCCTCTGCACGCCATTCGCGTGCAGCGTCGTTATATTGTGCAGCGGACTCGCCTCCCGATCGCGCTTCAGCACAATGTTGCCATTGGAGGTGATTGGAGCGCCGTTGGGAGATTTCGCCGATGTCTGCTGCTTCAGCTTGTTGTAGGTGGCGCTGTTGGCAAAGGTCAGGCCACCGATGCCGGGGCCTAGCTTAATGGTGTTGGTGCTGGCACCGCCAGTCGCCAGTAGACTGGTGCCTTTCGGCGTACCCTTCGCCTCTTCCAGGCCAGACGATTGCACCTTGCGCAGCTCCGTTCCCAGATCCTTGCGTACAGCATCCACTGCCGACGAGTTACGCCGCTGTAGTGCGGCATTCGTGGCCATGGTTGGCGGTGCTGTGCCGCTACTGCCGCTGCTTACGACTGATGTTGAAATGGGCAATGTGGAAATCTGCTTGGGTATGTGGGCCATCACCTGCTCCCTGCGCATCGAACCGGCGCTGACCTTCATCTGCGCCGGGGAGAAGGTCAAGTGCGACTTGTGCTGGTCACAAGGGGAGGCGGGTGGCGCCTGTCCAGCTCCGGATCCCGATCTGCTCTGCGTTGTCGGCGCACCACCACGCGACTTGTGCGGGGACCCCGAGCCAATTAATGAATTCGAGCCGGAATTTGAGTTAATCAGCGGCATCACGGAGATGGGACTGACACAGGCTCCAACGTCCGCATAATAATCCGCCGTCGACCAGAAATTTGCGCACGATCCCATCCACTTGGCTGTGGGCGAGGCATGCAGTGCGCTGCTAGCCAAGAGATTCGCATTTGCGTTGTGCGTTGAAAATGCACTGCTGCTGCTATTGTTGTTGTTGTTGTTTATGGCAGAAATAGCCTCCAGAGCATGGTCGAGCGAGGACGTCAAATCACTAGAGCTGCCGACCACATTGGCTATCTCCGCCCGAATGTCCACATCCAGCATATCCTGCATGGAGTCGGACACATAAAAGTCCAGCGAAGGTCCCGTCGCATCCTGTGAACAAATATACATTAGAAATACTTCGTAGTGCTCTCGTCTCTCCGAAAATGAATGAATGAATCTACGCGCGCAATTACGACTGCTGTATGCGAAAGCTAACATTAAAGCTTACTGTTATTCAAATCAAAAGCTTTACATTTGATACGATCACAGATATTTTGAAACAATGGCAGATACTTTTCACTCTAAGCAAGAGTTAATAATAAAAAATAAATATTTCATTATATATTATTTATTATCATATATAACAATAAATATTTATTGTCATTAAATATAATTTTTAAAAATTCATTCGTTCCTTATTTATATCAATCATTTTTATAGTAGACTCTTAAACAAAAATCTTTTGTTTTATATTTTAGGCAACAAATAAAGGGCAAAGATACAGATACAGATAGATATTGTATCTATATTAGAAAAAAATAACTGAATCAAAATAAATCAAATCGGCAAGGTGACCAAACTTTCTAATTGTTGCGCAACAGTGTTGAATAATGTTAACTGTTCAAACAAGCCAACGATCAGCTGTTGCTCTACATTAACTGTTTTGTAGGTAACCATTTAAAAATAATACAATTAATTATATTGTAAACAATTGTATTACTATTTTCATAGGCATTTGCTTTTCGCATTCCTGCTCCGCTTGCAACTTGTTAGCATTTCTCAAATCAACATATAAGACTTGCATTTCTGTATACATTGGCTGCACTTACATATGAACATACTCATACTTACTCATACATATATGCATATTAGTGGATTAGTGGATTCTATAAATATACAGATACATACATATGTAAATGAATCATATCGAGTATATTATGCCATCAACGTTATCATTATCAGCCTTGTATATGTATGTATGTAGTTGTCATCATCCTCGATTTGTTATACAAATGTCTGTATGTCTGTAGATGCTTGTATGTACATAGGATACACAATCGGGTATATACTTTTCCTTTTTTTATGTGCACCAACAACAAGAACTGACATGTTCATGGGAACGAAGCAGGAGCAGTGTCCAAACCGGTTTTACGCTCCAATGCAGGCATCGAAAGGCAGACACAGGCTGCATATGGCACACAGCATACCATCATACATATATGTATGTATGTATGAATGTGTGCATACGTCTGTACATATCGGCGCCAATGTCCAGCAACAACAAGCACGAATTACAACACATGCATTTCAGTCACACATACACATGAATAACAGTGCCTGAGCCTGGGATATGTACATACATATGTGTGTATGTATGTGTGTATATCATTGCAGGCAGGCAGGCAAGTATGAATCAAAGGCCACCATCTTAAACCGGATATCAATAAAATTGAAAGTTTTATGTAAACAGAGACTGATGCAGCCGAACAAAACATAAACAAGGCAACATTTTGTACTGTACATCATATTGATGTTAAATGTTGCACGTGTTTACAAATGATCGACTGTACATATGTATATATATACAAATATACATCAGCACATGAATACCAAAGGGTCGAGCTCAAAGATCAAGTCTAGAAATTACTTATTACAGCTGCAAGCTAAGTGGATACATATGCATAGATACATACACACATATACATACATACAATCATGGATATATTATGCAGCATAAAGATATTTGTATATTTGCTGCCTTTATAGGAACAAACAACGAGCCTATGCTAAAAACAACCACCGCTGCAAATGTTGCCAATCTAAAAATGTTGCAGCAACATTTCACGGCGAATATACGAGAAAAGGGGAACAGATATATGTATGCAAGTATGTGCGTCTGTACGTCTGTTTATATGTATGTTTGTAGGTCTGTACATCGAAAAGCAGAGAAAAATAAAGGAATAAAGCAAGCGAGTGGAAGAGAAACCACACAGAAAAACTCTGCTACTCTTTATGTTGAAAACATAGAACATCGACCGCACAACACAGAGTTCTCTGCTGAGCGCACAAGCACACCAACACAGTACAGTTGGCAACAAAACATTCTGCAAAACGAAACACCAACAGAGTAGCAGAGCTGAAAGTTGAACAACTGTGCGCTCGTCTGAGTACTTTTTGTGATGTTGCGATAGCTTGAATTCTGCTACGAAAAAGGGTAGTAGGCGCCAATTTAACAGTTTAACAGCTCGAGCCGCTCAACGTGCCGCATATGTTAAGACATGCTCAGCAGCAACATTTTGTTTTCATGTTTTCATGTTTTTTATGCTTTGAGTATTAGGCGCAACTTCACATTTTATACGACACTTTGTAAAAAGAGAAGCAAACGCTCGCGCCTGTTACTTGCTCTTTGGGGTGGGTGGTGGCTGGTATCTGTAGGTGTGTTTGGCTTAGATGGCAATGAGAGCAGCGTGTCCTTGGACACATTCCAACTCATTGACCCGGCCGGCCCGACCCTGGCGTCTGCTCCCGTTGAAAAAATCAATAGATGCGGCATACACACAAACACACACATACAGCGCCACATGCCGCATGCCGCATGCTCTACGAATGATGATAAGTTGCATAATTTAGCAGGATTCCATAAATTTGTACAGGCCTTCAATGCTGTTGGCGCGCGTTCTTTTATCAGCTCCCAAATGTGCTGGGATGTACACACATACACACACGCACACACACAAATCCTGTGTCTGGCTGGTGTCTGGGCAGCTTTAATGCAATATGAAATGAAATTTTGAATGTAAAATACTGTGCAACACCTTCAAGAGGTGCGAACTGCAGAATTGACTTTGCCTCCTGCTCTCTCAGTGGTGTCCACGGCACCAGAAACAGGGCGTGCAACAACAATTGGGGCACAGCAGGTGTTGCACATTGAAAAACAACAGCAGCTGCCGCATCAGCAACAGTCATTTGGTTTTTTGACTTGTAATGCAACAAGCTGCACTAACTGAACGAAGCAATATAGGGACATTCATATGAGTACTAAAGTAAATGTAAATATATACGGATGTGTGCATATAATATTTATACTGCAAATTATAAACTAATAGGTGTATATAATATCAAGCATTATAATAATAATTATGTATTATGTAATTATGTCATTTTCATTTATGTACAAATGTATGTACATATGTATGGATGATGTAGTAGATGTAGTATGTATGCGTATGTATGTATATAGTAGTCACATGGTGAATTTGTAATATTAAAAATTATAATTACCTATTTTTATAGTGTTTCATATTATGGTGTACATTTTATTATGAATTAATAATTTCATACATAAATTATAAAATGTAAATGTTCTTTTTTTATATATGCATATTTTTCATTACAGAAAAAAATTGTTAAAATTTCTTTTATACTTTTGCTATTGGTAAAAATATTTATGCAAGTATGTATATTAATTTTAATTATTATTTTGATTTATTGCATGTCATTTTAATTTTAATGTGTATCAAACATACATACATACATATTATACACACATGTATGTCCATTGCGCAAAAACTAGTTCAATAACGAATAAATAAAAGACTCCTCTGTTCCATACAAGCAAACTTCATTCTATTATCGATATGCATTACTATAAAGTGTGCGTGTGTGTGCGTTAATGTGCGTGTATTGGTGATCCGATAACCTTTTGCCAAGCAGGCTGACAGACTGAGCAGGCAGGCAAGCAAGCAGGCAGATAGAGCAGACGGCAGGCAGCTGCAATTTGAGCACTCAGGGGTTGTCCCCGTATTCGTACGAACACACGCACACACATGCATACATACATACATATGTACAAATTCAATTGACTGTGTGTATACGAAAGTGTGGGTAAATAGCTGTTACTCTGTAAGTTGTGAAGTGCACATTTTCCAACGGAAAGGAAACTTCCTGCTTCTAATTGCCTTTACTCACTATTTGTCTCGGCTGGCAATTCATATCACCTGCATTACATATATGCACTCTCTCTCTCACTCTCTATAGGCTCCTCTTTCTTTTTTATACAAAAAAATTGCTTTCGAAAAAATGTGCCGAAATAAAAATGCATTGAGCAGGCGATCAAAATTAACAGCAGGCAAACGAATAGCAAAAAAGGGAAAACTTTATAAAACTTTAGTTTGCCGATTGAAGCCTGAAATTGCCGCCTTCTGTTGACCTTTTGAGCGGCGCAACATTGGCATGGAAAGCGTGCACACGGCCGACTTCACACATATGTGCATACACACACATATACATTTGCATGTATGAATGTGTGCGTGTGTAAATGATTGGGCAGACGGCAGCATGCAGAGAGCTCAGTGTCGCACCCTTGGCTCAATTCGTGGCCTAGACAACGCAAGGCGACTGGGGTGCAGCATTTCATACGCCGCCTTTTAGAATTACTTTTGTGTTACTGTGTGCGTGTGTGTGTGTGTCTGTGTTATCGGTAATTCCCTCTTGGTACCTTCGCCATCCTTTGCATCTGCTGTGCATCTTTTGTATTTGCTGTTACCTCGGTTATTTTCTTTTTACACCGCTTTCACCTTAAAATTGTAATGGCTTGACGGCTCTGGCTCTCGCTCTGGCACACAAATCCAAATCCGAATCTGGACTCGACAGAACCAGGTAAACGAACAAAATCAGCATGGCAGGCAACATTGCACCAACGGCAAATGTCTTCGCCGTAATTATGAGCGCCTATTTGTAAATTGCTTTATGTCCCGGGAAAAGCGACGTTGTAAATCAGTTTTTAGTCTATATTTATGATATCTTGTCTTTTTTGGGCTATATGCAAAAATACATCCAGCGCCAAAGGGTTGTCTCGAGGGTGGGTGTGTCCACGTGTGTGTGTGCGTGTGCGAGCCGTGAGAAAATCTATGCGGCATACAGCTGGGCGCTCATATTCAAGCAACAAACGAACCACAGCGCACACTGAGCAGCGACATGTTGCCGGCTACATGAGTTTGAGTCTGAGTTTTTCTTTCCACTGCTTCTGCCGATTGGGGGGCAAATGGGGTTTCACTCAAACTCAATTCGCCGGCCGGCTRGTCGGCGCGTTGAACTTTGAAGTTTTTGCATGCCTTTACTTTTTTTTTTTTTAATTTTTATTTCTTGAGAGCGCGAGCGAAAGCTTTTGATGTGTGACCATTGAGAGCGCTTTGGCTCGGCTCTCAGCTCTCGGTTCTCTTCTCCTCCATCACTTGTGGCGTTTCGAAAACGACATGAAAGACAAAAGCGTTTTGCTGTGTTTGCTTTTCTTTGTTTCTCCTCGCAAAAATACATATATTAATACATATGTATACAATATATATAAGAGCTACACTGGCACACAGGCACATACATTCATCACACTTGTAGCTCTCATGCGATTTTTCTGTGTGTGTGTGTGTGTGTGTGTTTGTTTGCAAATTGCTTCATGTTAAATATGACTTTAACAGGCGCGCATACTTCTAAAAATCTGTGGCGCTTATCAAAAAACCTTGTAGGAGGTCAGGACTAATATGAATAATGTCTTACTAAAACAAATCTTTAAACTTGAATATCTAACAATGTATGTAAATACAACAAACCGGTGTACTTTTATACATGTATATATATAATATTCCCTAATTTAATTTAATCATGCCAAATTTTCGACTACATAAGACAGAAGAAACCGCCAGCAAACGAGGTGAACGTTTGGCCTTCAAAAAGTTTAAAACGCAAAAAACAAAAGATACAGCTTGAAGCAGCTCACAGAACAGCGACAAACATATTTATATGTTCATATGTATACGCACACATACAAAAGATACATACATACGTGTGTATGTTTACCAATAAAAAAAAAAAGTTAGGTAAACTACGCATGATTCTTTGGATAGCTCCGAGCAAGAGAAACAACTTATAATTATTTGTCGCTTTAAATAAATGAAGGTCATCCAACCGATTCCCCATCTCAAACTCAAACTCAAACTCATCCCARCGAACAACAGTAACAGCAACCAACAGAAAAGTTTTCGCCGCTTTTTTGCTGCTTACGTTTTTAGTGCACACAACAGAGCGCTGTTGAGTCAACAATAACATTAGCGCTGGCTTTACATCGACTTGGTCTCCACATACGATAATACCCGAGTTATTAACCGGACATAGCTCCAAAGTTGAGGAAGCATATTTATTTAAAAAAAAATCCTATTAATGGTCACATTATCTGCCGCTCTGTTCCGATTATGACCGCTCGTTGGTCCCCACTCACCACCATTAATCAGCACTTCCAGTGAATGTGACTTAAGAGTAATTTTAAAGATCGCAAACACACATACACTTACACGAGTGTGTAATAGTGTGGGTACTACTCGCTGCGTAAAGTTGGCGAATCAATTTAAAAAAAACGAACGTTAATACCGAAGCGAATTTGCCGACGAGCACAAGGCAAGCGAAACAAAAGAGAGGGGTAAATTTTGTTTTTGGCGAGTGCGCAACAGACTGGGCCCTGTTAAAGAGTGGCAGGGGGAACGCAGGTGCCAAAATACTAGGAAAAGTCTTTGTAGACTTCGGCGAATTCACAGTGAAACGAACGTTACAAATTTAAAAACAAACGATAAAAGCTTGCCAGTTTATTGGCAAATATGCTTGTGTGTGTGTTGCCGGCCGGCATGCAAATTGGATTTCGCTAATTTGTATTTATCGCTGATGCTTTGTTGACTTTTGGTGAACAAATATACATACATACACACATGTGTGCTTCGATGTTCATGCGATTGTGCGGGAGTTAATTATGTATGTATGAAAATACTTACTGCATATTTACTGAAGAAGCCCTCGTGAATACTGCTTGAATAATCCTCTAATTCGAACATGTTGTATCCGTTTTACTGCAAATTTACTGTTGCATATGCGCTTTGTTTTGATCAATTTGCGACTCTCTCCTTTCTTAATCTCCTTGGTTATAAAACCGTTACACGACTGGTATAAGAGAACTACCGTTTCTTTGTATTTGACAATTTATTTCACACTTGCACATTTATTTTTGAAATATTTAAATATTTGTAAATATAAATTTTCATGTTGGTATAATTTCATTTTTGCACCGGTACATCTTGTAATTATTTTTAATAAGCTTCTTTTTTTTAGCAAAAACAATATAACCACTAACAAAATTTTTTACCGCCACACGTCCGCTCTGTTCGGGCTTGTTGTTGCATTTGAGATATTCTGCTTGGAAGAACGTATCGATATACTTATTGCAAAAGGTGAGTAAACGATATTTTCTCGATATATTCACCTCAGTGTTAATGAAAGTATCAGTATTGCTAATGGCCGTTTGGAATTTAAATGTCTTTGTTATTAAGAAATTAATTGAATTTTTTATATACCTATTTTTAACCCATAATGATCAATGATATTAAAGTTTGTTTTATTTCTTATTGTGTAAAATCAAAGCACAGGTTCAAATTATTTTTCGGAAACAATAACCTAACCTAACTATAACAAGTAAAACTATTTAACACATAGTGATCCAGTTGTAAATTTGTTAAAGAAGAGTGAAATGTTTCTCACTGCTTCCTATTTGTTTATTATTTGAATTTAAGATTTTAAATAAAAATATATATGACAAATGATTGAAATTATAGATATACAAAATAAAATGTGGACTATCGATATTATATTATAGTCCGATCAAACGCGCAACCTATCGAAAAGAATTTATTTTGCATAATTAATTCACCACACACAAATCGCCCGATGTGAGTATCCGTTTAATTTAAAATTTGGAGGCTTGCAAAATTCCGTACACTATAATATCTCACAAAAACATAAAATTCACCAACAGAAAGCATATCAAAATAGATGCTAACATTTTGTGAACAATTCACAAATTACATTAAATGTAATACCATATAATTCAGCGGAAAATTTTTATTATTTATATTTAGCAGATGCTTGTGGATAAGCTATCGATATAAAATCGACTCATTAGGCACTGTTAGTCGTAAATTATTACTAATATATACATCATAATGGGCTTCAAACAATATTAAAGTTTATTTGCTTTGTAAAAGATATTATTAATTTTTGAAATTTATATTTTAACTTAAATGATAAAATAAATAAAAGACAAAATACCGAAGCAAAAGTAATTTCAGTATGATATATTATATTTAATTTTGAAAAATGATATTCTAAACAAAAAAAAAAAAAAAAAAATATGGCAAGCAATTATGTATCAATTTCAATTTCGATATTTTGATTACAATGTATAATATTTCAAAATATAATTCACAGTATTTAGGGAAAAAATTAAACAGTGTAAATTTGAACATGTTTTTAATTCGCAGGAGGCTCAGCTCGTTTTAAGTATTTTAATACATAACAAATAAAAAATATAAAACTTCAATTCGCTTACTCTAAACGTTACACTAGAGCAACAATTCAAATGCAAGCATAATTCAGTTGTTGAACAATGAACAAAACTTACAAAAATGTATATATACTATATGTAAATTAAATGAATTCAGCCAGCCTGCATGCGATAGTGTTATCAACGAATAAGTAATATATATAATATATAGAGTACTACTACCTATTTGTGACGTCTACCAAATATTTCACGCTTAAAGCGCAACGCCGATTCCGTAGCTGGGTTACGAACCGGCGACGATGCTGACGAAAAGGAAGACGCCAACTTTCTGCCAATTATTTTTACCTCCTTGAAACCGTAGCGGGGCTTGGGTGATTGACGAATCTCCTTGAAATACTTTGAGGTAGGCGTGCACGGCTCGACTTGCACAATGCTGGACGATGTCTTGAATGTTTCAATACGTTTCGGCTCTTTGTTGCTTCTAACTGTGACGTAACCCGCAGTGGTCCTTATACGCCTGGGAGATTGGTGATTCTCTTCGTCTGAGCTCTTCACTGGAGATACTTGAATCAATTTGTTCTTTTTCTGTTTGTTGTTGGTGGATCGCTGCTTCGCCTTCGCCTTTGCGACCTTGGTGTTATCCGGCGGCTGAGGAGATATTTTCCGCGCCAGAGACTGGGGCTGCAAGAGCCGAGACAGGAATTAGACAGTCGAGTATACAATCCAAAACCCACAACTTACATGATTGCTGGCGGTCTCCGGGATGAGCATATGCATAGCATGCTTGATGGCCTGCTTGGTGGCTTGCAGACGTTTCAAATCCTTTTTTATTGTAGTCTTAACGGGTTCTTGCTTAGGCGCGCCTGTTCCCACCTTAGTGGCGTTGTCAGAGCTGCCGCCACAAACAGGTATAGTCTTGGAAATCGTGCGATCCCTTTGCTTTCTGCCCGCTGCAACGCGCTGTAAAGGATGAAAAGTTCATTACAAATTTTTAATTCATCGGATTACGCTTCAGATAGCTCACCTGTTTCTTCTGCTCCAGCTTAGCTTGGTTCGCCGCCAGAATCAGGGTGTCACAATATTCCAGATATTCGTCGCGGCTCTTTGTTGCAGTTGTGGGCAGTTTCTCCTCCTTCTCCGCTTCAACAGTTTCATCTACTTTGCTAACAGTTTTCTTGGGGCTTTCAATCGGCTCTGCTACCTCTTCTTTAATATATTCTCCAGGCTCACGTTCACCCATTTCGATATCACTTTGTAACAACTTATCACAAGTTCCTTCATTGGCTTCTCTCAGCATTTCAGCTGATTCGCTGGCGTGCGATCCGTCGACAGTGCCACAGAAGCTCTTTGATAAACGCTTCCGCTTGGTCCGCTGGCGGCTCTCCTCGGCCAGAGTCTCGATGAAAGATTGTGATGGGTTGACATCGCTGTCCAATTGTTCACTACGACGCTTTAATTTCGGCTTTGGCTGCTTATCGGAGCGGCCCTGTAGATCCTGCACGTACAACGTTTGGCGACGTGATTTCTGGAGCGGATTGAACATCTGGCGCAAGTGTGATAGATCACACGAATCCAGTTCGGATAGAAGAGCCGCCTCTTCCTCACGCTTCTGGTTGGCATGGAATGTCGAGGACTTGCTAGTAGATGCAGCAGCTTCAGCTTTTTCCTCAGGTTTATCTAAATTCGGTTTGGTCTCTTCAGTTTTAACAACGGGCGACTCGGTCAGATCCACCTCGTCATGGGATTCAGCTTCTGATATTTCATCGCCCGAATTGGGCAACTCTCCCTCGCTCACTTCATCCTCAGAATCAATCACTTCACAAAAACTCTTGTTGACAATCTTAGCATCCTTTTGCTCTTTTTCTTCATTGGAACTGACGACAACATCTTCAAGCACTTCGGCTGCATCTTTGTGGATCTTTTGGTCTATGTTAAACTGTATTGGCGGAGCTGTCTTGTTCAACTTATCGGATTTCTGAGGCTTTAATTGTGAACTATCGCATACCGACAAATGCAAACGTTTCTCAAGCTTTTTAGGTGACTTTAGTGGCTGCAGCTGCTCAGATGATTCAAGCTTTTTAGGTGACTGTAGTGGCTGCAGTTGCTCAGATGATTCCTGACATGTACCGATGTCTCCTTTATCATCTACAGGGACTGATTCTTCTTTCGGTTCTTCAATATCATTTTCCTTCATTTCTTGAACTATTTTTATCTCCTTTTCTGTTCCATCGATATCATCATTCTTATCTTTTTCACCGTTCTCTTGCACACTATCATTATCGCTGCTCCATTTTGCTTCCACTGATTCAGCAATATCATCATCATTATTTTCTTTAACATTCTCTGGCTCATCAGCATCATCGCTGCTATCATTAATAACAATACGACGCCTTTTTTTGGTTTGTGGTTCCGGTTCCGGTCCAGCATCTTCGTCAGAAAAATGCAAAGGTGACAACATATCCTCATCCTCTTCATCCTCTAAGCCATGCTCATCCCCTTCGATGTCCAACATATCCACATCCCCATCATCATCTGATACTATAAACGAGAGTTTCTCATCGGCACTATCTTCTGACTGATCATCCGTAGTGTCCTTGCTGCCAACAGATTCGCCATCTACTGGAATTTCATTTGCCGCGATCTCTTCACAAAGGGAGCTATCCATTGAGTCACCAGAGTGATAATCATTAGCAACCTCCACTTCATTGTCAAAATATTCGGCCACAGATGGATCTTGAAATACATTGTCCACGCCATCATCATCATCCTCTTCCTCATCCTCCTTCTCATCTATATACGCTGTCTCGTCGTCAACGACCTCATCGTCACTGTCAAGGGGTGGGGTTGGCAATCTAGGTCTCTCAACAACTGGGTTTTTATCTGATAGAGGTTCTGATAGAGGTTTTATCATATCAATTTGCGGCGGTGGCTGATTCGATTCGTTGGATGCAGTGGACAGAGTTTCGCTCGATGGCATCTCTAGCTTGGCCAGAGGTGTTGAGCTATTGCGCCCCTTTACGGTAATTGACTTCAAAGGTGTTGCGACCTTGGCCTCTGTAAGGTTAAAGAATTCTCCTGCCTCTGCTACTCTAGTGCGTGCTGGAGTTTTCGGAAATTTGGGCTTGACAGTCTCCTCATCTGGTCCACAGTTAGTGAAGACTACGGTTTTAACGGGCTCTGCCTCTTTTGTTCCCAGTAAACGTTTCTTTATGCCTGGTGTTAGATCGGGCAAACGAATGTCATTGGTGACTTCAGCATTACCAGCTGCTGCTTCATCATTCGCTGGAGACACAACGACCGGGTCAACGGGCTTTGGCGGGACATCAGCAGGGGCATCAACAGATTTCTCTATCTCAGCTTTGTCTTCGATAATCTCTGCTTTTGTAGCGTCAGGGTCTTTATCCTTGACAATGGATACATTTGGATCCTTAGTGGACTGTGGCGTCTCTTGCTTGCCGCTCATCAGGATATCTTTGACTTTTACCATAACTTTAATAGTGGCCAAAGCAGGAGTCATAGGATCCTTCGTGGCAGCAGAATCGTTTGATTCTTCAGCTACGCCTATATCAGAGTGCAATGATGTGTGTGCCTCGCCTGGCCCATCTACAATTTCAGAAGCGTTTTCAATCGATTCTTTTGTTTGCTTTTTCTGTTTCTCTTCCGATGAATTTAGTGTATCAAATTGCAGCTGAGTTTGGTTCTTCATGGGCGGAGTCTTCGACATGGAACGTGTCACACGCCGCTCCTCTGATGATGATGATACGTTAAGCCGTTTATTTACATCAGTACCAGTTGGAGTGCGCTTGGAGTCAGCAGCAGCAACAGCAGCAGCTTTAGCCTCATCGTTGCTCCCTTTGATATTATTGTCTGGATTGGGCATACTCTGTGCTGCTGCCGTTTGACTAGCTTCCTCTTCAATTACTTCTTCAGGCAATGGCAACTTTCTGACCACCGACTTGGCAGGGGTGCGCGACGACAGTTTAGTAGCCGACAAGGTCAAAGTTGGGGTAGCTGGCTCTGGCGTTACTCCGCGTGCTAGCGACGCACGGGTAGTCCGAGTCGGAGTTCTCAAATCGGCAGTGGCTGAGTTCAGACGTGTTCGACGCACTGGACGTGGAGATGCTGCAATAACAATACTCAGCATTGAATATGCGCATCAATAATAACGAAATGCACCTACCACGCTCTACAGTTGAGTCTATAACTGGGGTCATGGCGCGGCCATCGGAATCTGGCAGAGCAGAAAGTCGCCGACTTCGTGCGCGAGTTACTGTAAATGCACAATATTCCATATTAGCTGACCTTTATTCATACACAAACATGCTTTCCACAGAAACAATGAAGCAACGCGCTTTCTCTTCGCGTGTGTTTTTAAATTCAAACGGATTTCCTACCGAAACTTTTGTGGAGAAGCAACAAGCTGTAAGCGAAGCATTTTCATTGCAACTTACCACGAGGAGTACCGCCGTTATCTTCGTCCATTTTAATGTTGTTTCTTATTTCTTGTAATCTTTTTCTTTATTTTTATTAATAGTTAAAGCCTTTAAGACAAATTTCTAATTGTGAAATTCGATTGATGAACTGGACGACGCTAATCTTAGAAATGAAATAACCAAGCACTAAAAACGAGCACCGCCAAAATGACATGTGCCTGTATGCGTGACTTCTTGTCAATTTGCAACACTGCTCACAATGTTGAAGAAAACATCGATTAAAAGTTTGGCGCTAGTAATTGATGTAAGCACTACGATTTAAATGAACTTCCACTAGGGAGTCTGAGTGGCCTACTTAAATTATTAAATATGAGCACTAAAACCCATTTTTTCTACATGTATGTAGTTAGGTGCCAAAATGCTTGATGAATACTTACATATATATGTATACTCTTTATTGGCAAAATTATTGCTGTAGGCCATAAATTCAAATTTGACAGTGGTTCTACAATTATAATTCTGGTTATAGCATCCCATACACACACATGCATACATGCATACGATCAACGGCTAATTTTTGAATTTACAATTTGCACAGGCAGCAGAGTTAGGCGGAATTTGAAACAGGCAAATAAATGCTCACGCATACATATACGTATTTTCTTGTGATCAACAACGCTTTCGCCCGCTTACCGTTCCGTTAAATTATCTTGAAGCGCGCTAGCATTTTGCGTGAGCATTGTAGACCCTGGAATCATCGCGAACAAATTTAAATTTACATGTGGGAGCTGATGCTTATGCAAAGAGAGAGGGATAGGATATAACGAGATGAGAATATGCACATATATATATATATATGTACATGCATATGTATGTATACACCCATATGCTTCATGTATCAATGTAAGAATCGCCTGCACACTTTTTCTGTGTTGAAATTTGTTCTGCTTGTACAGTCTATATCTATGAATATAGTATGTATGTATGTACATAGATACATATGTAAATATGCTTTCTGTGGTTAGTGATAAGCTAGAGTTCAGAATCCTCAATGAATGAATACCAATACATATACATATGTACACATTTAGTTATATATTCTACATATGCATGTATGTATGTACATATCACATCATCACATTAATAATATCGTAATGCATTCAAGGTGTGTTTTGATTTTTATATTCAATTTATATGTTGTTATGCATGTACGTATTTTCTTATGTACATACATACATATGTATTTTGTTATATATCATTATGTAGGTATATGTATGTGCATACATTCTTTCGTATGGATGTATGTTTCATATGTATGTAGTTCCTAGTTGGTAGCATAAAACGATTTTGGGTTACGATAGTAAATCAAATTGTATTTATTGTATGTTTCTGTGTAAAGCCTTATCCAAACAATTTTCTCAAGCTCACCGTGCAAAATAATAAAATAAATTAATAAATGTAGGGTTAGGACAGCTCATATAGAGTTGTTAGGTATGGTATAAAAAGATACATATGTATGTATGTATATATGTACATACATATTAATTACATTACATTGCAAACAATTTTTGTATTCAACATTTTTCGATGACCCTTACTGCAAATGTAAGCTATAAACAAATGTACAATATTAACACAAATTACAGCATTAAGTAAATAAAAACACTAATATATACATTCACAAATTAAATATTTATATCATATTAAATCATATTCTGCTTAGCAAACTCTGGGTTAAATTGGCTGTTATATTTTTGTACTATTCGTGGCGTAGGTGCTGGTGTAATGGCTGCTTTGGCTGGTATTGCCGTTTCCTTAGGTGCGAATAACTGTTCCTGGCGCTGTCGTTCCCTCTCCTCACGCAGCAGTCTCTCCTTGCGTAACCTGTTTAATTTATCGCGCTTCGCGTCTTCTGCGGCCTCATTGCTTTTCTCAGATTTACTCCTCTTACGCTTGTGTTTCTTATGCTTTTTGTCGTGTTTCTTTTTCTTTTTGTCTTTCTCATTTTCTCTTTGTCGCTTGGATTCAGGCGAACGCTCTGATGCAGCCAATGACAAAGTTGGTGTGGGTGAGCGATTGCGTCGCTTAGTGACTGCTTGAACAGGAGGTGGCTTTTCTTTAGGGACCAGCGCATTTATCAAGGTTAGTGGATCTTGTGATAACTTTGCTTTCAGTTGGATTTCAGTGTGATTTTCAGTTCGATTTGGGGCCAATTCATACCAACTTCGCACTTTCAGAGCTTCATTTGTGTCCTGGCCCAGGTAAGTGAGGTACCCAATTTGTTTTTCATACTTCTCCTGTTCTTCTTTCTTCTCCTTTTCCAAGTCTTTATTCGTTTTCTTTACATGACTTTTATAGTCTGCAAATAAATCTACTGCGGATGTAACAGTAGAAGTTTGTGTTATAGTTCCTTCTAATGGAATTTTACTGCTTTCTTCATTAGTAGACCCTTTTCTAACATTTTCAGGCAAGCCCGATTGCCGTCGAAGGTAGTTGATGCGCGCCTCGCTTTCCTTAATGGGTTTGATAGAAATTATTGTTGACTTTTCGTTCGATTTATTAATATATTATTACTCACGGCCAATTTCAATTTGTCTAGTCGTTTGTTTTCGATTTCCTGGGCGGCTGCTTCGTCGCGACGTACGCGGGCAATATTATCTTTAGTGCGAACATGCCAGCTAAATATAACAAAATACGAATTAATAAGAGTCGTACTTCATAAAATTTTATTCGCTTTACCGTTTCTTGGGTAAGATATTCATTTTGATGCTGTTGCTGAAAAAATATGCGAATGTAAACAAAACGCGTTACAATGTGAATGTCAAAAACAGTGCTGTGAAACGAATGTGCTGAGCACAAAAATGTACTACTTTTAAATATACTTATAAATTTAAGTTATATTATATGTATATATTTGCTGTTTGCATTGTATCGAAGTGGCTGGTATTTAAATATCATTTTTATTTTAACACTTAATTTTGAATCTACCCCTACATGCTTACACAACTCTGAATTGCATTTTTTGACAATTGGCAAACGCCAACGCGAATGGCAAATCAAATATTCATCTGTCAGAAGGAAGAAAAGGGGACACATATAGGAAAAACTGCAGCGCAGCAGCAAGAGTCCCGTCGAAAGTAATTTAAATTGTGAAAAAAAATTTGAATTAATTGTGAAATCAATAATCTAAAGCATAGGCAAAGTTCACATTGTCATCGAATCAAAACGCGCGTACGACGCCCGCATGTAGCTCAAGCATGGAACAGCGCATTCTAAAGCAAGACGGCTACTTGGATGTGGGCGATGATAGCAGCAACGACGGAGTCTTGCCTGGCGGAGCACCAGTGTTTGAAATTCGCAATATTGTGTATCATCCACATCTAAATGTGCTACTTGCGTTCGGCGTCAACAATCTAGTGAAAGTTCTAGATGTCAATTCCGGCGTTATATTGCAAACGTATCAATTAAGTACAAATGGTAAGCAGCAGTAGCAGCAGCAGTTTTTTTTACAGGCATACACATACATTTGCACATACATGTATGTACGTAAAAATTACTACACAGTCGTGCAAATACATACATACATATGTACATATGTATGCACGAACAAATGTCAATTTATTGCATTGTGTTTTGTAAATTTGTCTGTATTCGTCATGTTCAATATGCATATGTATAAATGTTTGTATGTATGTATGTCTGCATATATGTACATATCTCTGCATTTTAGTGCATGTTTGAAAGGAAACGCTGGACGTTTGCGAGGATATTATAAAATTAATGTCATTTTGTGTTTATGTTGGCGTTATATATACACACATACATACATACATACCTACTATACATAAATAGGCAGGAGAATTCTATTGTTATTGTTTCTACTTATTACGCAGTTTACGCATATGTTGCTTGCTCTAACATGGCATACATATGAGTATGTATGTGTATATATGTGTGTATGTGTCTGCCAGATTAAACAAACCAATTAATTGCAAACCTTAATGAAATTGATGGTGACCTGTGAAGTGTGATCAATTTATGAAATATATATTAATATGTATATATATATTTTTTTAATCTTGTGCAGCAGACAACTTAATCCATGGACGCTACATGCCATTGCAAGATAAAATCTTGTTCTGGGATGGCCATAACTTAGGCCTGCGCGGCGACTACAACGGAGTTCTGCTCTTGGATACAATATTGCAGGCGCCAATCGGGCAGAATGATGATTATATTAAGCTGGAGCTTATTTTGTCCGAAGCGATCATCTTTCAGAATTGCATAAACGATCTGGAGAGTGAAGGCCTCGAGTGTCCGTGTGATATTAGTAATGAGCTGACACAGAAGATAAACCAGGCTCAGTTGAACACCAAGAAGGGCATCAAAGCACAACGTGTAAGTTTTTCATTTGTCACTTATTTATTTTTAAATACTAAAATATAAAATATAAAAATATTTTTAAAATTAATCAGAATAAAGAAATCATCATTCATAATAGATATTTTATTTTTGTATTAATTTATATTTCTAAAATATACTTTATTATTTCAGTGGAATACAATTTGCTTGGAAGTGCCGTATTCCAGTCTGAAATTGGTTGCAAACAATGTGGTCATATTGCTGAAGCGTTTGGAGCGACACATTCCGGTTCTGGCCATAGCATCGGCCATCAACGAACGTTTAACGGACATGCTAATGGGGTCTCGTTTGCCCGACTACGGCTGGAACTTTAGCAACTTCCAGCGCGTCCTCATGCACTCGGAAGCTGTGCGTCGCCAGACATTCGAGAAATGGCCGCACATGGACTATAAATGGGCGCTGCCAGATCAAATGGCACAAGCCGGCTTTTACCATCAGCCATCGTCATCAGGCGAAGATCGAGCTATGTGTTTTACGTGCAACGTGTGCTTGGTTTGCTGGGAAAAAACAGATGAGCCCTGGAGTGAGCACGAGCGCCACTCTCCTCTCTGCCCGTTTGTTAAGGGGGAATACACACAAAATGTACCGCTATCCATTAGCTACGCCACCAATCCGGCAGTAACTTCGCCGGGCTTAGGATTTGATGTCATTTCTAACAGCGACTACGCCAATGTTCTCTGCACCAGCTGCACCCAGACTGGCGAGCTAAGCGTGTGGAGTATTGAACGTCATCTGAAGCTCATGCACAGCTTTCATGTGCCCACACTACTCAAGGAGCTGTTCGAGGAGAACTTTGAGTGGGCGCGCGTTACTGCCATCTGCGTGCTGCCGAATGCGCGCGCCCGGGCTAAAGTCAACTATGTGTACTCGGAGAACTATAGTGGAACCGGCAGCAGCAACGGTGCTGCTCACGCCAGCAGCATGCACGGCGGCAAGTTTGGCGGCGTTAATACACAGCACATAACATCCACATCGACGCTGCGAGCCGGAGTTGTGGGCTCAAAGATAGTCCTTGGTGTAACGGTGCGCCAAAGCAGCGGCGAGACGGCATTGCGCATGGTGGTGCTCAACATCGTGGAATTGGATAGGCACAGCGAGAACTCGGCCGTTATTAGCAATGATAGTGGCAGCGTCTCCAGCATGGGAGGCCAGATCAAGAAGACATCTTCGCAGTTAGGAACTAGTAAGTTCTCATTATGCTTTAACTATTATTGCTTATATAAAAAACCAATGGAAGTAGTATCCATTGTTAGCTTGAGCAAGCGTTTTTTATGCATGTTTGATTTCAATAATTGGCTGATTAATTCTTTTGGGCTTTGTTTAATGATACATTTATATTTCTTGGTAGATCGTATGTTCTTATGTGTTTGTATATCTTTTTCTATTCACAGCTTCCAGTGACTCAAATGTTGTCGCTAGCCAAGTAAGTCTTGAATCTTCTAAGGATGATGACAACAAATCGTTGACGCCATATGAAAAATTCGCTGACGGCTTTGACAGCAACGGCTTTGTGTCCGCTTTAATGACTTACAACAAAAACAATGATGTTAACCAGAGCGGCAACAATTCTTCTGTGTTGTACGACTTTGATTTGTCGACGTTGTCGCAAATACTGGACAGCAATCTCGATGATTCTTCCTCAGGCCTAATGGTCTCCTCGAATACAGTGAATGTAAGCAACAGCTTGCTAGGCATGAGCAATGACATGGACAAGCTGATGGATCAGGCCGATGTTTCACATCAAAACAACAATAACAACAATGACAACACTATGGGTGTAGTCTCCTCCAATAACAACAATAACAACATTATCATAAATGGCAGCAACAACACGAGTGACAAGTTGAATAGCAGCGAGGAAATTGACTGTGTAGTAGAAAGCTGGACGAGCGTTAAGCGCATGAATGCCTTGGATGGGGCACATAGTACGAAAGGAGGGCAGTTAGATGTGCAAGAGATAGTGGAGATTGACGAAATTATGCCCACCAGCCCAAAGTGCAATCAGTTGCTGGTTAAGCTGATGCGTACCAAAGCCCCTGATTCGGAGGACACTAAGATCATAATGGCTACAGTCGCCAAAGAAGAAGAAGARCAACACAATATACCTACGGATGCTGGTGAGTAAAGGATTGCTTTCCGTTGTAATTTATTTGCATATAATAAATTACAAAACCTAAACAACTAAGAGAAAATAATTCATTTGAATTTACTAATTTCAGACGAGAACAATGCCGAATGCAATGTGGCAGCACAGCTGCTCCTCTTTGACTACGATGACGTCCAAATATCCAATGATTATACTCTTGCCATGACCTTTAGCCGGGCTAAGTGTCCCAAGCAGCTGTGCATCCTGCCTCCCTATGTGTCTACAGCTTCGGCTGAGATCAAAGAGACCGGCTCCATTTGCGTCGTGTGTGCCGATGGATGCATTGAAATTTACTCCTTAGCCGATTTTCAAGTAACGTCGGTTATCGAGGAGGAGGGTGAGCACTTTGAGGCCGTAGTATATTGCCGAAACTTGGACCGACTCTGCTGCTGCTCGCGCCAGGGAGGTATGCTGTTTTATTCGCTTAACGACGGCGAGAACGACTCTGGTGATGAGCTGCTGGAAATGGAGGATGACTGCAGTACTACGTTGACACATGCTATGGACTTAAGCGTAACGGATGGCGTGCGCAATATACCCGGGGCCGACCCTGTCATAGGCGACACAATGATAACCGGCGATGGAGGCAGCGATGCGGTCGCCGGAACATCAAGTCAAAATGTACATGTGCAGACTTCGCCATCTGCTGCATCGCTGATGGGCAACAACGCAAACCTGCTAGCATACAAGACTTCTGACTTGACTCTCGATGACTTGCGTGCATTATATGCTTTGACGCAATTCGATGACAAACTAACAGTGTACTCAGCTGAGGTGCCAAGCTGCTGGAACGATCTAGGCCAGGTGCAAAAGCAGCGGAAACAGTCGCAAAATATGCGTCATGGCGGCGATGAGCGAGACTTTACTCGGACTTGGAGATTGCACAATGATGCGTAAGTCGTAAAAGTTTAATATTTTAAGTTGTATTTTAATTATTTTATTGTATTTTTTAAGAACCACATGGGACGAGCACATCATTGAGCTTAATCTGGCTCAGCCAGTGTCCTTGGGTCACATCGACCTAAAGTTTACTGTGTACCAGCAGTGCTCCAATCCGGCAGCCATTCAGGTCACCCTGCTCAAGCAGAACACCAATGGATTTGGCTACAGAATGAAAGGACCACACGCCAGCTACAAACCCAACGTCATCGATGATAACATAGACTTCTCTTACAGTGAGACACAAAATAGTAATCTTTTCATATTCTTGGCTTTATGCAGCTCTATATTTATCCATAACTTACAGTTGCCAGCGAGAATCCTGTGCTCAGTGAGGAGTACCTGTTGACCCACAATGCCGAGGTGCTCGCTGGCCCCATTGAGCTGTCCTCGTGCATTGATCTGTGTGATCAGGGAGGCACCGCCACCCTCACTTCGCCGAAGCTATTCAAGACACGCACACGCAATTTCCTTCTGCATATCAAAACGGTATCGGATCCATCCAAGGAGGGCCAAAATAAAACGAGAGGTTTGTAAGACTCACATACGTTCAAAATAAGAGAAGTTGCATAAATTACCCATGCAAACTGATGCAGATTTTATACATCTTGTCAGATTATAGCCTGTCACATTTGTCTCCAGTTTTCCGTAATATAATTGCTCATCCTAGTTTAATATATGTAAAAGAGTCCGTGTAAGAAAACAATTCAATAGAATTTTGGTTCGGTTTAAGTATATGTAATACAATACAGTGGTATATGATTCTCGGTGCACCGAAGATATTTTTCTTTTGGATTTGGCAACGCTCATTATTCATCCAACAATTGCAGTTTTTTCTGCGCGACACAAGAGTCCGCATCAAGTTGAAGGCTGTGTTAATCGTACAAGAACCAGTAAAGTAAATGCCGCGCTATCGCATGCAAATCAAGACCTTGTGAAAACTGGAAAAATCAAAATCATATCAGCTTTCAGTACTCCGCTTTACAGTGTGAAAAAAAATTTATTACTTTCGAATGTTAAACCAATCATCGTGTCCAAGCATTCGCTGAAGTCCCGGCCAATCGCAGATGGTCCCTTTGTTCGGCGCAATCCCGGGCAACTAATAGGTAGTGCCCATCGTAGCTGCACCTAGTACTGCTCCCCTTTTAATATACCATCCGAATCATAACACCTACTCATTTGCTGCAGGTTGCGATTGGCTACACGAGATTTCGATAAGTGTGCGCGCCGTTAAGTCACAAACTCGCATAAGCAATGCGCGCATTCAGCGGATTGCTATGCTCGATAGCAACGGACTGTTGGAGCAGCTCTTCCGTATAGTTAACGATTCAGAAACAACGCCGTTGGCTAGGAATCTAGCTCTGGATGTGCTCAATTGGATTTGCTTCATCCGCTTAAATCGTTTCCGTTCCCCAAAATCAGAGCGTCTTAAGGACCAGATTAATAAGCAAACTGCGGCTAATATGAACGATCTGCTGGCGCAGCAGTTTGAATGCATCAACTTGTCTGAGAAGCACATCGAGAAATTGATGCGGAACTGTATTCTCTACAGTGAGCGCACCACGGCGCATAAGTGTGTCAAACTTCTGATCATGCTAACAGAGTAAGTGGAACAAAAGTCGATTTATAATTTATGTGACCTATAATAATCTGATTATTTTGTTAATTGCAGGGGCATGGCCAATCTGCCACGGGAACTACAGAAACATTCATCACTAGATGTCAGCATTAAGACGGCAATATCAAATACGTTCCATGAGCTGCCGCAGGCTCAGTGCGCTAGTGTTGTGCGCTGGTATGCGATGCTTACCTGCGCGACATCGACTGCAGAGTCCCACAACAGCATTTCAGAGTATGCTATCAATCTGCTCAAGGAAATCGCGACTGAAATCGATAAACGTTGGGATCCGCATTGCGCCCTGCTGAGCACGCGCTTTGGCCTCTATGGTTATCCTTTTGAGCCAGAAATTTTCGACTTTGATTTTCCCAATATAAATAGACACGGATCTAGCTCGTCCGTGGCACTTACAAATGTGATACGGAGTAGCGCCACCATTTTGCCGGTAACAGGACTCGACATCAAGCGCTTGAGCTCGATAGGTGGGTGTGAGACTTGAAATTCGCCTAAGTAGAACTGTTAATAAACGACTAATTGCAGATGGTGTTGACTTTCGCACCTTTCCGCATCTGATACGTGGGAAGAGCATTAGCAATCAGCTGCGGGGACTGCTGGAAGTAGTGCAGCTGCATTTCAATTGTGTGCAAACCTCCGAAGCCACGCGCATTGATAACGTCGACAGCGTAGTTAACGGCGCTGCCAGTGTTGTCATTGAGGATGTCATGATGATGCCAAAGATGACAGCAACCAAAGGAAAGGATGAAGAATTGGTAAATAGCAAAGTTCAGTAACAAAGCTTAAATTATTTGTATAAGGAAAACGTAAGATTAAAATTTATTGTCCAATATTTTGAAATCCTATTTTTAGCTTAATGATCTGGTCAATGATGTGGAGTGTCTAGTAGAAGAGATGAAAGACAAGGATGTTAAAACCGCCTTTGGATCCTTTGGCATGGTGAACGGGTTCAAGGACAAAGCTTGTAAGTGCTTATTTGTAAGATGTCCTGTAATTTGTGTATTCATTTGTGCTTTATTAATTTTTAGCCGTCTCATCGCTCACTGATTTGGAACATGCCCTAAAGGAGGAGGTAAAAATCGAGAAGGCAATTGATAAGCTGAAGATATCTAAGTTTTTGCCACAGCTCACACTTTGGAACAGCTATATTCAAAAGAAGTTTGGAATAAACGAGGAAAACTCCTACGATGCTTTTGGCGAGCTGGACAACTGGGAAAAGCCGGCAATGAAGTCTTGCCTCGACTCGCTGCCTGAAGAGGTCTCGCTGTCGCAGTCGTCTGAGAACTCGCAGCCCCCAACTCAACCGTGCGCCAATGAGAATACACCGAACGTGTCGGATGATACAGCGGAGAGAGAGAAGATTTTGGAGAATTTGAGTGCCAATCCTTGTCCGCCAATTGCTTGGCACAAGCTACTTACCCCGCCTCCTAAGCTTATGATTGTTGTTGACCGCATGCATTCGGGCGCCCGCCGTTTCGTCGTACTTGATTTTGGCCAGCACGTACTACTGACCGATGTGGTGATACCTGCCTGCGATGAGCTAACGTCGCTAAATATTGATATTTGGTGCTTCGACGAGGAAACGGATTCCACGCGCCTTGCACAGGTTTCTGACATACAGACCAAAACCCTGGTTCTAAGCGATATGCAGCCACCACCAATTTGTCGCTATTTGAAGCTGACTATTGTTGGACGTATTGGAATGTCATCCACCAAGTGCAAGGTGCCGCTGGGTAGTTTCTTTGGTCATCCCATTGTACTTGAGCATGATGGCTACGGGGATCAGCTGGTGCGCTTTGTTAAGCAGCCGGTCCAATCCCTACAGGCACATCTCAAGTCTCTTAATGCGCTTTACGAGGATGTTCACTGCCGTTACAGCCTAGCAAGTTGCAAATTAATGGAACTGCTGTCGCCTATGCGGAACAGCGAGTTATCCAATGTAGCCCACCTGCAGGCTTTTATCAACAAGCAACGTGATGAAGAGCTTAGCTGCGGCATGGACAATAACAACAAAGTGGTCTCCCTATACGAGGAATGCATGCTGCTGCAATATCAAATCAACGTTATACGAAACGTGGTGCTACGCTTGGAGCGGGCAATATCACCAAAGTCTGTACGTGCGCCAGCACCACCGAATCCTGCACTCATCGAAGAGGCGTTGCGCACCGCATCGCGGGATAAACTACGCGTATTAAGTCTTAGCCTGGTCGAGGTGCTTTTGCATTTTTCCATTGAGTATGGTATTAAAAACATACTGCCCGTGCATCAGCGCTTCAATGTGGCCACTGCCAAGGCCCTGTTCAACTCGCTAGTCGTGTACGGCGAAGCACAGTTGCAACTGACAACGTGTTCCCTGCTGGTCCGCATGTGTTGCTTCCAGCCTTGGTGGGGCGACTTCTTGGCCGATACATTTTGTAGTTTGTTCTCAGCTCAGAATTGCAAAGCATTTCCACAGGATCGGTATGTAAAATTAGTTTTCAATCAGCCATATTTGGTACTTAATTATTTCTATATTTGCAGAATATTCTTTTTGCTCACCTATTTGGGACGTCGCAGCATTGCGATGGGCGCTTGTCGCTCCATTGTGATAGATGCTGTGCTTAAGACACTCGTCAAGTTGCTGGCGCCCATTTCGCCGCACTATAAGTTCCAATCGGAGCAGCCCAGCACTTCGGCCAGTGCAGCGGAGCGAAACGCAGCTATGGGCAGCACGTCTGACCTTCAGCTGATTACGTGGCTTTTATTGTTCCTTTCGGTTTGTTTGGATGATAATAATGAACGCAAAGACAAATGTGAGTAAAAATTACACTTTGAATCAGTGCAGAGGATTATTTTCATTATTATTATTTTTTTGTTTTTCTTTAATTTTAGCGTCAGCACGCTGGGATTTCATGAGTTGCGAAAGCGACTTTACTAAAACCAGACCCAACAATTCAACCAACAGCAAGCAGCTGCGCTGCTTCAAAAAGCGAATCATTCAGCAGAATAAATACTCTGTTCAGCCCTACACGGACTGGGGCAAGAAAATCTACATGATTCAAAATGAGGTAAAGAGCATAATACTGAAAATAGAGTGACAGTGTTTAATAATTGACAAATTGTCTAACCCTTAGCACCCAGGAATATTTATGGAGCTGTCGACTAAGTCGAAGGCGAGTGGTGCAGGCAAATCAACGTCGACAGCTGGAAAAATTAATATGGTATCCAGTAGCATGTGCCCGCCCAGCTCCAATGCAAGTGGCAACTCGGTTAAGGCAACTGGAACCTCTACAGCGTCGCCTAAGCATTTGGACGGCTTGGGAGCTAGTACTGATGGAGACAGTAATTTTGACAAAGGCCTGAAGACGCTGAGCATGTCCAACATCAAAGTTGTCATACGTGGGCTCTTCGCTCTATTGCTCGAGATGGATTTCGATTGCAATATGGATCAGTTTCTGCTAACGTGTAAAGTCATAGCGCGTCTTGTGGCTGCGTGTCGGCCATCGGTGCGACTGTGCAAAATTGTTACAACAGCACAGCTGGAGCAGCTCATTCGCCTAGCTGTGTGGAACGATCAGCAACAACCCTGGGCTGTGCATGCAATTACTTGTTTGCTTCAGGTATTATTTCGAGCATAATTTCAAAGCTTTTCAAATTATTTACTCATATTTAATAATATTGACACCAGGACCTATTGGATGCAGACAAGCAGTATAGGGATAATGACGCCACGCCCACCAACGATGGAGCCCGCTCCATTGTGACGACAGCAGTGCAGGAGACTCGTGATCTTTTCAATGACTATACTTGTGAGTATTTAATGATTACAGACATAGCTCGATTTTCGATGTCTGCAATTAGTGTCTCTTATTGACATTTTGTGGATTGAGTGTGGATTGAGTATATTCATATGCATGTGGCTGTGAAGAATGAAGATGAGCTAATTGCACATTGATTAATTCTCATTGGACGAACGGCAATCGCAGCTCTCCTTAAACGATGTTCGTTAAAAGGCGTAACATTATAGTTTATTTCTCAGCGCTGTCCCGAAGACCACTGCGAAAAAAACGAACTCTTTCCCTTTGAGCAAGAGCGAAATAGATCGTAAAGAATAGAACCGCTAACAGTTCTTTGCGAGAACTTGTATTGAATACAAAAACAAAAGCTTATACATAATACTTATGCACTTTCATCTTCATAATTTCCTTGACTGTCCAATATGGGAATACTGTCTCACTCTCGCTTGGAGCAACGCACTTCGGTTATTTTCTGTTGGGTGCCGTGAGATGAACTATTCCTGTGACGCTCATTTAACGAACGTCGTTTAGGGAGAGATGCGATTGCCGCTCGTTCGATACGAATCAGCAATTAGCTCACTCTTTATTCTTCACATTTCCATACACACACACACACACTCAATTCACGCTATTGAGCTGTTCATTTTTCTCATAATGTCAACAAAAGACTCTTGCGTGCAGACATCGATAAATGCTGAATAGTTTTTTGCGAGCAATGATGATATAGGTCTGTTTACGTACCTTCGTTAATTGGTTAAATATTGTTAAACCTTAACAGCTGTCAAATACAATTACCTACCTTCGCTGATCGAGTGCGAGGATACTGAATTTGACGAAATACTAAACGATATTGATATGATAGAGCGCACAAAGCCGATTACTAAGAAGGAAAGCAATGCGCTCTGCAAGAACACGTTTAGCTTCTTTTGCAAGTCAATATCAATTGCGATGGATAGTCGGTTGGATGCTGGATTGGAATTGCATGTGGAAACCCAGCTGCGTCGCCTAACCAACCGCACATCGCTAGATCTGTACTCCTCGCTGCCGCAAGTGCTGACCAATGAGTTTGTGTCCGCACCGCCAGATGCTGCACCCTGGCCCGAATATCTTACGCAGCTGTGGTCTGGGCCGGACTACAGTGGTCGCAATACATACATAATGCTGAAGAATGTCTTTGATTCTATACTGGCCGACTTGCATTACGAGGATACGTGGGTGCATCTGGAACAAGTGCTGCAAATGTGGCTAACACTGAATTGTGAGCTAGCTGACAAGCCCTACACCTCGGGTATTACACAATCGGATGTACCAAAAATTCCATTTGGCGCCAATGCTGTTCAAGGACTGCTACTAGCTCTGGCCTGGCACAATGATATTAAGCTAAGGACTTGGTGCTTGGGCTTCCAATGCCTATTCCTCGCTTGTAATTCGCTGCCCATTGGCGACGATGTAACAGATTGCACGCGTATAAACGAGGTCATTGTGAATGATGAGAACTTTGAAAAGATGCTGCTGCGCTTCTTTTCCGGATACGGAATGAGTTCCTCTATCATTACCAATCGCTGTGTAAGCTATCCCTTGACAACTCAACATATATCGGCTATCAATGTGTGATCAAAATTTCTTTTATTTTATCAGGCTGGTCCAACCATCTGTAAGCATTTGCACGAGTTCCTGCTATGGCTTCATAGTAAGAATGAGAGTAACTACGGTATCATTCCATGTAAGCGTCGACTCAAAGACATCTTGTTGCATGTCGTGCTGCAATTGGTGCAGCCCGGCGGCGCTATTAGCAACCAGCAGGGCCCCATCGATGCACAAAATCAACTGGTGCGCGATCTGCTTTTAATGCCGAATGATAAAGGCGATTTGAACATTGCGCTTAAGATTATCGAGAGTGTTTGTAAGTAGTACAATTCATAATACACACGTACATTTGGGGTTTAATGCCTTCGTTTTTTAGCCTTCCTAGTCTACAACAACATTTCCAATGGTGAGAAGCTACAGTGCCAACGTGGCAACGAGAACAGTAATGCTGGCAATAACTTCAGCAATTTGTTTGCCAATGTGCTGGGTTCCGAGAATCCGAGCAAACAAAATGCCAACATTTGCGACAACTCGTTGATTATAAACCTACTTAAATTGTCCTCGCATATGGCTCTCACAGAGATGCCCCGGCAGCCCAGCGTATGTTAATCTATCGAGGAACGAACAGAAAACATTGTTAGTATTGAATTTATTTTCTTTAGGAGGTGACTATACCTGAAGAAGAGGAGCTGTCCAATCAAAGCCAAACGGATGAAACCAAAGCCGAGCAGTTGAACACAGAGGGTCATCGCAGCAAGGTGCCCTGCATTGCCGATTGGGGTGCGTAGTAAAGTATATTTATTTGTAATATAAATGTTATAGTACAAATATTTTATTTCAGTGTTACGCCAATTCCCGACGATGAAGCGCCTGTTTGGCGCACTCTCTCAATGCTCGACAAATACGTTTACAATGATGTCTTCGAGTTGTCTCTTTTCGCTCAAAACGAACATGGTTCTGGATGAGCCGCAGACTATTGCCGATGCTGTGTTTAGTTTGATGATCACTTTAAGTGAGCGAGCTTCTAATCCACGCCTGGTTGTAGCTCCCATATGCCAATATCTCGAAGAGAGTAAGTTTTCATTTGCGTTTCCCTCATAGAGATTATACTGACGACTCTTTGTTTTCGCAGCCACCATACAACGCAATGCCACATTGCCGCGTCTGCAGCTATCGGAGCCCTTCCTTTGGTATATATCGAAGGTGTTGGAAGTAACAGCTGCTGTTCAAATTTTCACACAGCTTGGCGGTATACAAATCATTTGCCATAATTTGGTTCGCCTTAACAAGACTATTATAAATATGCAACCGGGACTGGTAAGTGGCTTAATATCTTTGTGTAACTATAATAAACTGAGAAGTAAATATCATTTAACTTGATTAATTACAGATCTCAATGATTATGCAACATATGACTCGTAATACTCGGCTGAAGCTCAATAGTCATGTAAGCAATGCTAACGCCTGTAAGAAAACCCCCGCGGGCGCACCCGCGCAGCCTCCGACAACAGTCACACAGTCCACCAGGAGCAGCAGCGCCCAGTACGATGGGTTGATCAACTTCGCACCCTTCTCACACATAGTGTCGGAAAATGATGCGGCTCAAAGCGCCGAAATGCTTATATCAAATCCAAATGCCACTCATAGACGTCCACGCTCGCCTGCCTGGAGCTATATGTTCTATCCGAATGAGACACATGTTGATTTGACAATAACTCTGCCAACGGCCATTTTGCTCAAGGAGGTGCAATTGGTGCCGCATACCTCTAGTCTAGCTTCGTGTCCCTCAGCTGTAGCCTTGGAGCTGTCTCGTGATTATGGTGTTGGTTCTATACCCGTGGGCGCGCCCATGGCCACTACTGGGCTAACCTGCATACGTCTTAAGCTTGCCAAAGCCGAAGTGGCTACCAGTATCGTGCTAAGGCTTTATAGGTAAGCACAACATATAGACTTTTCGTTTATAATAACTAACAAGATGTGTTTTTTATTCTAGACCCAAAGATTGCGGCAATGTCGGGCTTGTGCAAATAGCTGTACTTGGCCAGACGATCTTCGGCAATCGGATGCAAGGATTGCGCAGCCAGGGTGCATTTGGAGAATCATTTATTGCCTCCTCTGCGCCAATGGGCTCAGCCGCATTGTCAGCAATGGATGTAGATGCTATGCCGGAAGACGATGCGTTTGCTAAGACAAGCATCGGTTGGGTGCGAATTTTGTCTCGATGCTTTCATGTGGCTGCCCTGCAACCAGACAGCAAGCTGTCGGATTTGATTGCGTCGTATCCAGCCGCATATCCCGGATTTCTTGAGGCCTGCTGCTCTCTTTTAAATATCATGCCAATGATACCAAGCTTTGCGCAACAGCATCTTGAGACCATTTTGATCAAGCTGGGCGCCTACAACAATGAGCTTAGTTTGCAGCTTCTGCGGACATTACTTTGGCACACAACACCACAGGGTAATTCACAAGACTTTTATTTTATGTAGTACCGTATTAATATTTGGAAATTTGCTTTTGCAGTGTTTAAGCTCTCCAGCGATGCTGTGTGTGATCTCATTTTCCAAGTGGTTACAGGCTCTACTGTGTATATGCTGGAGAAGCTGCGGGTGCTGCTTGATTGGATTATGCAACTGCGCGACACTTACAGCAAGCAGGCACGCTGTAACAATCCGCAAAGCGGATTTGTCAAGGTGATTGCCTCCATTCTGTGGCAAGTGCATCGCCAGCAGCAGGTGCCCGATCTGCCGCAGCTTATTACACCGGCATTGTTTGAGACTTGCTACCAGTGGATATCTGAGCTGGAGCATGATGAGCCACTGAAGAGCAGCTTTGATGCGCTCATATGTTCGCTGTGCTACATAAAGCCTGAGCTATTTAACCAGTTGCTGGTTAAGTTGGGTGTGAAGCTGGAGCAGCAGACGCGCGGCAAAACGGACGATAGCAAGGTGCAAAGCGGATGTGCTTGGTTCCGTCGCGAGGGAGTTGAAAGTCTTACAAAGTTACTGGAATATCCAGCTTTTCTGAAGACCCTCGCATTGGCTTGCCAGTCTCCCGTGGCTGTTTACCAAATGTTAGACTCGGGCCTGCCTAAGCTGCTTGCGCATGCCATTTACGAGTACTGCACTTATATGTTGCCAGCAACCGAGGTGCAACCTGTGGAGCTGACGACCAAAGCATCCTGCAGCAATCAAGCAGCCGCCGGTGGAGATTCCTCGCTCACAGATTTTGATAAAGCGGAAGCGAATTTCGGGACTGACACAACACCGCTACTGAGCTGCGCTAATGTCCCCAAGGTGCTGGACTTCTTTTCGGAGTGCTGTGCCGAGGGCCCGATGCGTGACTGGCTGGGAACTATGCAGGGTTCGTTGTTCTGGAAGCCGCTCCTACAGCTGCTGTGCAACACACACTTGGCGCAGTTCAGCAAAACGCTGCCCATGCAGCAGACGTTCATTCGGCTGGAACGGGCAACAATCAATTTCTTTACACGTGTGAGTGCCTGCCACCCAGACAATCAGGAAGTGCTCACATCGTTGCTCATTGGCGCCATCATCTGCAAGCCTCTGCGCTCTGCTGGCGGTAATCGCCCAACTATTTCTGGATTCACGCGCCAGCTGGTACTGCAGCTGCTGCTGGAGAACGAGCACATCACCGTGTCTGTGCGCAGCCAGCAGCCATTACAGCGCAGGGATACGTTGTCAGCCATAATGGGCGGCAATTGTGCTGGAGGTCCCAGCAACAGTTTACCTATTGCGGCAGTCAATCATCATCCAGCGAAGCGTAGCAGCGCCCATCAAATGCTATTCACTGTGACCACGAACACCACCTGCCAGGAAATCATGCAGAATTGTGTCAGCGGTAAGTACATTCAATTACACATAGAGGGAGTGAGTGGTGTTCTTAAGTTTAATTACCATTAATAACATCGCGATTACAATTCATTGTTTGAATGCTCATTAATTTTTATCAACAAAGCACCATTGCCCATAGCTACAGTGCGAAAAATAGCAAATAATTAATTATTATGCGCTTGCAAATTAATTTACTTTTAATTCATGCTCATTTTCATGAATATTAATATGAAGTAGAGTCCTCAATTCAAATACATTGATTTTGGCAGTAGTTTAAGTTTATTTCTTTTTCATTAAATTAATTTTCTATTTTGTTTCTTAATTTCATTCTCGTTGCCTTAGTTTATAGTAACTTAGTGTATCAACAACCAACAGATCAGCGCACTGGAGGCGATGCTTCTGCTGGTATGCCGAGCGCTGCCAAGTCAAGCGATGCAAAGCTCGACAAGTCGTGCTTCATTAACTTCAACAATATGGAGGCAGGCAGCATGGAATTCTTAACAGTCGGCGCTGCAGTGGCTGCTAAGGACAAGCGCATCAAGGATGCCAAGAACCAGGCAGCCATGAATAAAGACAAGGAGACTCAGACAACAGCTATGCAACTGCTACCTATAAGTAAGTGAAATTTGTAACTCACATTAACCATCGCTGATGAACCATACATTTTGTACAGATACCTTCAATATTGAGGAATTTCTATTGCAAGCTGCACACGCCGGCTCTGGCAGCCAGTTGGTCGTAGCTGAGTACCCAGATATAGTGCTGTCCGGTGATGCCACAATCTCACAGGTGTTGGCCACATTGCAGAATGCTGGGCACTCGTTGTCCGCGCCCTGTCTCTCTTTGGATTTGGTACTGCAGCGCTCCATGGGCGATGAGGCTGCCGAGTCGAAGAAAATTAAGGCTGTTTGCACCGAACCCTTGCCATCTCCGTTGCAGCGCTTCTCCAGCAGTGGTGGTTTATCTCTGTTAGCCCACTATTTGCCGACTGTGTATCCTGAGCACATGGGCCGCAAAGCTACTGCCGTAGCGGCCGAGAAGGAGAAGAGTCCACCACTATCCGATTGGGTTAAGCTTGAGCCCAATGATGAGATCTACGAAGATCTGGAAGATACCATATGTGAGCCGACTACCAAGCAGGTTACCGTTAGCTCTGTGCCCCAACATTCGCTAGCCGCTTTCGGCTTGTTTCTGCGGCTGCCCGCCTACTCTGATGTTTTGCTCAAGGACAAACAGCGTGCGCAGTGCCTGCTGAGACTCGTGCTAGGCGTCACCGGCGACGGCGATGGCAGTAAGTAGAGATTCGAGTAAATAATATTATATTTACTAAACTATTAAACTTGATTTACAGATGACATCTATAGCCTTTCGTTGGCACCCTCGTTACCAACATTACCGTTTGAGGTGTTCCGCCAGCTCCTTGATAGTGTGTCATTGTCCACGGATGACGGCGTACTCCTGCGGCGTGTTGTCATCGAAGTAGGAGCTATGCATCTTGTGCTTAATTGTCTAGGAATCTTCTCACACCAGTCTCATAACAACAAAATCGGTGCATTGATAAACGAACCGTGCTCCAGTGGAAACAGCAACGGCAACGGCAACGGGAACGGGAACGGTGCAGTAACTAAAAGCAGTACAGCTGAGGAGCCCATTCCGAGTACGACAACGTCGGATGATAAAAGCCACATATACTGGGCCAAGGGCACTGGCTTCGGCACCGGTTCTACGACACAGTCATGGAACGTAGAACAGGCGCTGATGCGCCAGAAAAGTGAGGAAGAGCACGTGACGGTGCTCTTACTGGTGCTATCCAGTTATATCAACCCCGGTGATTGTATACCCAGCGAAATGCGCGGCGAGGATATACTTGCTTATCATGATGTGCGCGACGTAACCGGGGAACTGCCACCCATATTCCAGACTCTCCTGCAGCAGTCGTGTCTCATACCAGCGCTTAGCTCTTATCTGCGTAACGACTCAGTTTTAGACATAACACGACACATTCCCCTTTATCGTGCCATTTTAAAGCTGTTGCGTGCACTTTCTCTGTCTAAGAATTTAGTTTCGTTACTGCAGCCGAGTGTTAACGGAGACTGCACCCCACCAATTTCGGAGCTTCTAAAGAACATGAAGACCTGCGTTGACACGTATGCCAAACGGCTCAAGTGAGTATAGCACAGGTGTAAGATAATTATAGCCGTCTAGCATTTATTTCATTGCTTACAGAGTCAACAAGAAGTCTAACATCAAAGGCCAAACGCACCAGTTGACTTTCAATATTGATGATGGCGATGACGAGGGCCTCGCACTGCTCATACCGGACATACACGAGACTTGTGTGCTGGTGCAGAAGACGACTGATGCAGATGCAATGATTAACATGTTGCAGACGCATGAGGATGGCATGGGTTCGATAGAACGGCCAATGAGTAAATCAGTTGAGCAGCGCTATCTGGAGTTGATGAAAAAGCGCCAGTTCGATACATATGATATGATTGTGGAATCGGACAATAACAGCTTTCGATTTGTGGTATCGCATCATTTTGAAAAAATGGTGCGTCTCGCCGGAGATCGGTATCATCCTTCACGCGTCAAGCGCTTGGCACAAGAAGCAGTCACGCTCTCCACCAGTCTCCCATTGAGCTTTAGTAGTTCTGTATTTGTGCGCTGTGATACGGACAGATTGGACATCATGAAGGTGGGATATTTATATACATAATCTCATTGTGAATTATCAATTTATGAAATGATTGTTTCTTAGGTGCTAATAACTGGTCCAGCAGACACGCCATATGCCAATGGCTGTTTCGAGTTTGATGTATTCTTTCCACCGGACTATCCCAACTTGCCCATGCTCATCAATCTTGAGACCACGGGTCGTCACTCGGTACGCTTCAATCCCAATCTGTACAATGATGGCAAAGTGTGTCTGTCAGTGCTAAACACCTGGCACGGAAGGCCCGAGGAGAAATGGAATGCGCAAACCTCCAGTTTCCTGCAGGTTCTCGTATCCATACAATCCCTGATCCTTGTTCCAGAGCCATACTTTAATGAACCGGGCTTTGAACGCAGTCGGGGCACACCCAGTGGCACGAACTCATCGCGCGAGTATAATAGCAACATCTATCAGGCGTGCGTGCGTTGGGCAATGTTAGAGCAAATACGCAATCCGAGTCCATGCTTCACAGATGTAAGGTTTATTATTTTAAATCACTTGATCCCAATTAATCTAAATACATGATTTGTAGGTGATTCACAAACACTTTTGGCTCAAGCGCGAAGAGATCTGCACACAAATCGAGGGCTGGATTGAGGAGCTAAGTAAGCCACAATATACCGAGCGTGCTAGTCGCACTATATCGTTTAACTCGATGGTGTTGCGCCGGCACTATCGGCATCTACGAGAGGAACTCGCCAAGCTTAAGCCTCCGCGTGGCCTGGAAGATTTAGATGCACCGTTTAATCCGGTAGCCACGCTGCCACCTATGGATGTGTCCACAACAACGACAGCTACCCCAACGACAAATGCACAAGTGGGCACCGAAGACTCACTGGTGCCAGAGCTAAATCTATTGGTTGACAATGGGGACAGCGATATGTCTATGCCAGCTGACTTCTTCAAGGATATGAAGGAAGAGGGGTTACTGACAGGCGAAGAAGAAGTGGTCGAAATTTTAAGTGATACGGAGAACGAGAGCAGCGTGTGGCAAGATAAAGAGGAGGACACACCGTGAATTGCTCCTGAATGCCGCTTGCTAGTGCGCACTAGACAGTTTTATTTATCTTTTTAAGTTTTGTTTAATGCTCTTTTGTTTTTTTAATTTTGTAAGAGAGACTGCAACTGCAACAGAACTTGGTGTGCTTTACATGAAGAAAATCTAATATTTAATGTTATCGATGGAGATCCCTTTGAAAAATTAGTTACAAATATATAAATGCATATTAATCACAGTTTCATACAAAATCACCTTCATAAATGCATATTAACAAATAAATCTTTTTCACTAAACACAGCCTAACACCGTCTAAAACTCTATCGCGACTTATATAAATGTTTCATCAAATGGATCTATCGGAAGGATAATATATATAGATATACATATATATAATGAAAATAACCATATGTGTATAGCATAAAATATCACAACTTTAACAACACCACCAAAACTAAATTAATGTGTATTAAACTATGAATGTAGTGCTTTAGTTAAATATTTACAAACAAAATATGCAGAGTTACTTTTACAATTGAAATGCAACGCAAAATAAATTTTGTTTCTCCAAGAATAAGTTTGTTGATTGAATTTGTGAATTGGCATAGTCATCAATTATGTTTAATGAAGGAAATGTACGGGCTAGTCACACTTCATTTGATATATACGACAAGTTGAAATAAGAAAGCATTAGTCGGGCAATCTGTATTTTTAAAATATACTCTATATCTTGAAAAACCAAAGCCGACGTCGCGTCGACAGGAGTCGCACCCACAACTTATTGGCTAACTGTCAGCACCGCCACTTGACCGTTTTACACCACTAAGTAGCAAATCAAAACTAATCTGGCAGCTGGCGAGTCGAACACAAATCAATCGCAATCGCAATCGCAATTTTTAGAACAGCAAGGAATGCACGCATATAAATGAATGTGTGCATGTGTGCATGTGCACATACATACGTGCATACATATAAAGAAAACCCTACCGCTTGACGCTGCTTTCCAAGTGCTCTCGCTAATTGGCTAAACGTTTTGTTTAACAACTTCTGTGTTTTTTAACAAATTTCAATTAAACTTTTAGCAAATATGTACTGTTCATTTAATACTGATAATTTTTAAATTGAGTGAAAATGAATACAGCAATAACAGTATTGTTTTGATCGATGTCTTTTATAAGGGAATAATGTCGAACATTTCAAACTTAATCTGCGCGTCCTATAGGGTCTGTTATTTACATGTAATTTGACTTGTTACATCAATTCAAAAAAAAAAAAAAAAAAAAAAAAACATCATAACCTGATTTCCCACATTCAATGTGTGTATATTACACAAAGGTATTTTTCAATTTAAGCAAATTTCCAACTTTCTATTAATTAGTGCAGTATTGGTACTCGAGTCTAATACGTAATTAGAATCAGGCCTTAGCTCTGACTAATATAGTAGTACTAATTCAACCACTTAGACCACATCAATTAATTGCAAAATAAGTTCAAAATTCTGTTCTCCCTGTTTGATATTAGCGGCTCAGATCAAAACTAACCGTACAGCCATAATATTAATATGAAAAGGTTTCGTTTTTTTAACGTAAATGAACTTGGTACTTTTTTCAAATGCTGTCATATACTTGATAGGTTTATAGACGTTAACATCTGCATACATATTTGTGGCTTATGATTGTTTGCCTTGCCCAACGACTTTGTTAATCAAGCGAAAGATATAATATTGTTTATCAAGCCCGTTTGGTCATATCTATATGGCGATCTTTTCGACACTTTTACAGGGTAGCAACGATTTTATCTCTTCCCTACGAAAACAATAAATAACTTGAGTAAAAATAATAAGAGTAAAATCCGAAGAGTAAGAAAACATTCTCAAAAAACGACATGATTGTCAATACAATTAATGTATTATTTATTGATTCGATCAGAACAGATCTGCTCACAGCTGCATGGATCACATTCTCTGATCTTGCCGTAGCTTTTGCTCCTCCACAGAGAGAGAGTACTACGTGTGCTCAGCCATGGCCCTCTCTCAGTCCAACTTTTACAGTTAGATTGTACTATTGAGCGATTTTCGACAGACTTTGCCTGAGATCTTTCCCAGCGCTGCCTTCTATTGCCATTCGTCGTAGTTAGCTTCTCTTCTCTTTCTTCAGTCTCTCCCGATCTGTCGACTGCAGCGGTTCACACCAGTTGCCGCAGTGAGGATCACATTGTGCACAATTTTAATAATTCGGTCGATGCTGAGCACAGAACAAATCCATTTCGAATAATGGAGCTGAATAGTGTTGCGATTGGGGATGGAGTTGGAGTGAGTAATGGAGTGCGGAAGTTCGGTTGAAGCTCCATTTGATTTTATACACATGTGCAAAATTCTGGATTTGGTGTTTATATAAGTAGTGCATTCTCAAAGCCAATTCGAATATCTATTGCCCTTAATTCGTATTTTTGTGTCGGTTCTGTTGTGATTCCTATCAGTTGCATTGTTTCCCTTCTGTGGGCTGAATCGATTTTTAATTGATTTCGAGGATCGAATAAATAATAATACATATTTAAATTGTAGCAGAGCGAAACCCAGTCTAATGGTTGATAAAATCTCCATTGCCGTGGGGCAGTTTGTTGGCCTGTAATTTGTCACATTTTTCAACAAACAATTTATGCTGGTGATTTATTGACTCAGCACCGTCCAGTATTTGCGGATCGTAATTTATGGGTTTATTAACATGAAATGTACCCTAACAAGCTGTGATCCATCTATTTATTCAATAGTTACTGGTCTTCAACTCACGCTCAATTAATCAGAATTCCAGCACGAGTGCTAATATCTATCTGTTAGCTAGACGGCGGGGCATGGGCGTTACCTATGAAAACCCACGATCTAGCTAATTCATAATGCTAATCAATTCAATTTATATAAGCATTTTTTTATTATTATATTAAACAAAAAATGTACTCCCCTTGCCGATAGTCTGATGCTGCCGGTAGAGACGTAGATAATATACCATTTCTCATTAACATAAGTCAATAGAATTCTGATTTAATATACTGTAATTTTAGAGCCAATTTAATAGCTGCATACATCAGCGGTAGTATCTTAATAAGTTTATACTTATTTGCTTTAGGTGGAAGCAGCCAAGTCAACTGATTTTAATGGCAGGCCAACGCCTGTGGGCGGGGCACCCACTGAGAGCCCTCCGGCGCCACATGCTGAGAAATCGAAACCCCAGTTGCTGTATGCCATCAATGAGAATCCTGGTAGGTCACAGGACCTGAACTCCATTTTCAGTCCTCTCTAATCCATTCATTTCAGTGTGGTACCTGAGCATATTCCTCGCTTTCCAACATTATTTGACAATGATTGGAGCGATTGTGTCGATTCCATTTATCCTAACGCCGGCGCTCTGCATGTCCGATGAGGATCCCAACCGTGGCATCATCATATCCACAATGATCTTTGTGACCGGCATTGTGACGTACTTCCAAGCGACATGGGGCGTCCGCTTGCCTATAGTCCAGGGCGGAACCATATCCTTCCTAGTGCCGACGCTAGCCATCCTCGCACTGCCGCAATGGAAATGCCCGCCTGCAGCTGAGCTGGATGCCATGAATGAGGAGGAGCGCAACGAACTCTGGCAGATACGCATGCGCGAGCTGTCCGGGGCGATTGCTGTTTCGGCCATGGTGCAGGTCATCCTGGGCTATACGGGACTGGTTGGCAAGATCTTAAAGTATGTAACGCCGCTGACGATTGTGCCAACGGTTTCGCTGGTCGGTCTAACGCTCTTCGAGCACGCTGCGGAAACGGCCTCCAAGCACTGGGGCATTGCAGTGGGGTAAGTCTTACATGGCATTCCACTCTATGGGCCCGATTAACAACTATCGAAATGTTTGCAGAACCACAGGAATGCTGACGCTTTTCTCGCAAATCATGTGCGACGTTTCGATTCCGATAGTTGCCTACCGCAAGGGCCATGGGCTGGAGGTGCGTAAGTTTCAGCTCTTCCGTCTGTTCCCCGTGCTGCTGACCATCATAATTATGTGGGGCCTTTGCGGCATTCTCACGGCCACCGACGTCTTTCCCCCGTCGCATCCATCACGCACAGATGTGCGTCTGAATGTGCTGACGAGTGCCAAGTGGTTCTATGTGCCGTATCCGGGCCAGTTCGGATGGCCCTCGGTCACGTTGTCCGGTGTCCTTGGCATGCTGGCAGGCGTGCTTGCTTGCACGGTGGAATCGCTGAGCTACTATCCCACAGTTTCCCAAATGGCCGGCGCCCAATCCCCACCGCTGCACGCCATCAATCGAGGCATCGGCACCGAGGGACTGGGCACTGTTCTGGCCGGCCTCTGGGGCGCTGGCAATGGCACAAACACCTTCGGCGAGAATGTGGGCGCCATAGGCGTGACCAAGGTGAGCAGCAAGCCAGCCAGACCTATCGTACAGAGGAAGCGTCATTGAGGGCTTTCATTCCACTTCTTTTCAGATAGGTTCTCGGCGCGTCATTCAGTGGGCCGCGTTCATCATGGTGCTGCAGGGCATCATAGGCAAGTTTGGCGCCATATTCATCCTTATTCCCGACTCGGTGGTGGGAGGAATATTCTGTGTCATGTTTGGCATGATCATCGCCTTCGGTCTGTCCACACTGCAGTACGTGGACCTGCGCTCCGCGAGAAACCTCTACATTCTCGGCCTATCGATATTCTTCCCCATGGTCTTGTGTCCCTGGATGCAGCAGCATCCGGGTGCCATCAACACGGGCAATGAGACCGTAGACTCCACACTCTCCGTGCTGCTGGGCACCACTATTTTGGTGGGTGGCTTACTGGGCTGCTTTCTGGACAATATAATTCCAGGTAAGCTAATATAAATTTTTATCAGAACTAGATGAAAATCAGTTCCATTTCCCCAGGCACACCAGCTGAGCGCGGACTCATTGACTGGGCCAATGAGATGCCTCTGGGAGACGACAACATCAACGATGGCACTGCCACGGATTACGATTTTCCCTACGGCATGGACACCATACGGAAATGGAAGTGGACCTACTACATACCATTCATGCCCACCTACAAGCTCAAGAAACAGAACTAAGAGAGATTTCCCTCATCAGTGGCGTTAATACTTAATGCAGATCGGATAGATTAAAGAATATGTTTTACGTTAACGATTGTATTCATACGTGATGTTTATTGATTTCTGTTTAAAATGTTTGCATTCATTCTCATGCTTTATTACATTTTCGTACGTTCAATTTTCTAAGCACTAGTTTTTTTTCCGTTTTCAATTTTAAATTCGCTTTTTGTTTTCGCTACACTCGAATCTTTTGCTCTCGTTAATTCTACACATATCTTCTATTATTTTGCAATAACATCAATAGTTCTAGTTAACGAAAGATGGCACCAATACAATATCAATACCATTGCAAGCTATCAATTTCTCAAATCATTATTCAGTACTGTTTTGCAAAAAATTCGTGTTAAAATTATTGATAAAATTTTAACGCATTTTTCGGCGTGGGGCTCTTAATAATATCATATAAAATATCTCTAAAATATTCGTTAAAAAATTAACATTCCTCAACCGTGCATCCCGTACCGTTAACTGCTTACAAATTAAATCATCTTTATGTCTAGGGCTAAATCTAAAAACGTCGAAGGAACCAAGGCACAATTATTTGAGAATCCTAGGCGACAACAATGATCATCGGTCACAAGGACATCTACTACAGCTTCTTTCACTGTCTATCTCTGAAACGTTACTATGTGTATATCTGACTAGTTAATGGGTCAACTACAAGCAGAGCTCCAGGGCGACCTGCACTAAATTTTAACTTTCGCTATATAAAACATATCAAAAATCAGTTATGCCTAAATTGGGGCACTCAACGTGGGCTCCATTCCGCTCTACTGAGAGAGTTGTCGTGATATCGCGGCAGCATCGATTGAGTGGCTTCCTAGAACCTATGCTGATTGTGATGAGCTTGTGCGGATTGCATTAGCTTTTTGATGCCGCCGCTGCTGGCGCGCGAGGATGAGGCCGAGGCTGACGAGGAGGCAGTTGTATTGGGCGGCGTGGCCATGGCTGGGCCATGGGCGGCCCTTTTCCGTTTTGAGTAGTAGCAGAAGATGCAGAATCCATTCTGCGGTGTGGAACATCAAATGTTTGTAGGGCTGCGCGTAGCTGACGAGGTACGGTAACGGGATCCAGAACTGTAAAAGCAGAGTAAATTCGATTAGTTGCGACTAGAGTTACATGCGACTCGATTCACAACCCACCGCGAGATGCTCGATGTGTAGTCCCGTACTGGAGTGCGGGCCTCTCGCCTGTGGTAAGTGCCCGCCGTACTGCTGCCGCTGGTGGGTGGCTCCAGGAGCGACATGGTGCGATGATCGTAGGGTCTTATCGAGCGGCGTCCCAGTGTGGCATAGCCATCCAGATGACTGCTGGTGCCGGCGCTGCTGCTGGTGCCCGAGGGCAGGGTGCCGTTCAGCGTGTAGGAGGAGCGGCGCTTGGGGTTGTAGGTGTTGTAGTAGCCATTGATGCCGCCAACGGCAGTATTGCTGGGACTGGAGCTGGACGAGCTCTTGTAGCGCATGGGCACGGAGCTGTAGTCCTGCGACTCGTAGCGCTTGCTCAGGAACGATGGCGACGTGTTGCGAATGTCGTTGAGACTCTTGCGAGGTTTGCTCGTTGCGCCCGCCGACGCAGACGCTGAATAGTCCAGCGGAGAGCGATAGACGGGCGGCTTGAGCTCCGTGCCCACGGGACTGAGCTTTAGTGGCCTGAAAAACTGTTGAGTAATGTCCGGGGAGTGGCCGCGCGTCTCCACCTCTGCTGCATGCAGCTTTTGGCTGGAGCGCGCCTTCACTGCCGCCTGCTGCTCGCGGTAATAGTCTCGCACCGCCGAGGGGCCAACAATGCTGCTGGTGCGTCGAGGCTTCTGCTCATTGAAGCGACTGTAGAAGCTGCGACGCTTAATGCGATCGATCACGCTCTCATTCGGATCGGAGCTCTCGGAGCAGCGCGTGGGCGACGACAGCTGTGAGGTGCGCGAGAGCCGGGACACCGTGGGTGACGGTGTTGCATGCAGCATGTAGTTGTCCTCGGAGCAAACGGACCAGTTGTCGAAGTACAGCTCGGGCTCCTCGGTGGGCGACATAAACGTTGAGGTCGAGGCACAGTCGTCCTGGTAGCTTCTCGAGTCCGACGAGTAGTTGGCAATGTTCTCGAACGAGGGCGTCAACAGGTTATTCCGATTGATCTCATGCGCCGAGGAGGTGCGGTAGCCCGACGTCTGCGAGCTGCAGTTGTTGTTGGTATTGACAGAGTTGTTGTTGGTGGCATTATCCATTGACTGCTGACTCGAGCTGTTGTTGGAGGAGGCGCTCTTCATGGCACCCGGATACGGCGGCAAATTGGAGTACAGCCCGTTGCCATTGATCAGAGCCGGATTCGTCTTTGCACCTCGGTAGCTCCCGCTGGTATTGGTCGTGGTTGTCGCAGTGCTTGTAGTCGGTCCGGATGCGCTTCCACTGGTCGCATTGCTCAGATCCAGCATGAGACCCTTGCGCTTCTCCTTGTTGCTTTGGGTATTGCTGCCAGTCTGCGTCGTTGTCGTGGCAGCCGATGACGCCTCTGCGGCACCCTGATTCTGTATGCACTCCGGACATATCGTCTCGCAGTTGCAGTTCTCCTCGGCAGCCGCATTTTTGGGCTTGCTCACATTCTGGTAGATGGGGGACGTTGGAAGCGACATGTCCTGCGCCTCGCGCACCTGCCTCTCAATATTGCTGGACGAGCGCGTACTACGCACGCGCCGCTGCTCGCTGCTCTCGCGATCGAAGCGTCGCAAGAGTCCACCCAGCATTTTGTTCACGGCGCCGCTCTGCTTTCCTGCCCCGCTGTTGCCGTCGACGTGCAGCTCCTCAACGCTGGCGGATCGCTTGGGACTGGCACAGGCTGCGGGCTGCGTGCGGGGAACAGAGCGTTCTCGCAATGAGCGGAGCATGGTGTCGAAGCGGGATCTCTTATCGACACGTTTTTCGTCTGTGGCCGTTTCCTGGGACTTTTCCGCATCCACGGCTTTCTTTTTTCGCTGCAGCGTTGACGCAGACTTCTCTGGAGAGCTGCGCTCCTCTGTCCAGTCTTGTTTCTGTGCACAGTTTAGAGTTGAGCTGGGCATGCTTCCTTTCTTCTCCTTGCTCATGGCAGAGTCACGGAGCTTCTCGAACTTTTGCCCAATGGCATAGAGCAGACCCTTGCTGGGTTTCTTTTCGGGCGACTTCTCCTTCGACTTGATAGCAGGACTCGACTCCTTGGAGCTGTTCGCTGAAGTCGTTGCTGTTGTTGTTGTTGTGGTTGGGGGTGTAGAAGGGGTGACTGGAGTCGGTGGCACCAGCTTGGACTTCTTGGACACTTTGATCACTTTCTTAGTGGACGTCGAACGCTGTTCCGCAGAAGAGGCTCCAGTGTCCTTTTCAGTCATTGTGCTCATTAAACCTGCGTTTGTTGCCGTCTTCTCTTCGGCAGTTGACTTGGAGCTCGATGCTGTGGTCGGTGCCAGCGCAGTCTCGGCGATGCTGGGTATTGCCGCACCGCTGCGAGTTACCTTTCTGATATCCTTGGGCATGGCCAGCTTTGTGGCCGGGTAGCTTTTGGGTCGCATCAGTCGGCTTTCTCTGGGAGCATCAGTGGACGTCTCTGTTGCCGTCGTGGCTATCTTATTGGGCAGTTTGCTTTGCAATGTTGTGGCCGAAGTCTGGGGCAAAGGTATTTCTGTGTTTCCCTTGAGGCTTAGACCCAGATCCTTCATGGGATACGACTTAGGTCGCTTTATCTTCGTGTCCATTGGAGCGGGCTGCTCGTTGAGCTGCGTTTCCGCACCGAGCTGCGATACGGTAGATTCATCCGTTGACTTCTTGACGACCCGCTTGACTTTTCGCACGAGCTGGCTTGTTGTTGCTGTGGTTGTTGTTGTCGTGATTGATTTGCCAGCATCGGCATCGGCGCTTATCTCAGTGTCCTTCTCCTTTGACTTGATTTTCTTCACCTTCTTGATGGTGGAAGTTTCTTCGGTTCTGTTAGCTCTAGATGTCTCGACAGTTGTCTGCTCGGTGGTCGAGCGCTGATCGTTCTCCTTCTGGGTTCGCACCGCGGACAGCAGCTGCAGCTCCTGCAGTATTTTGTTGGCCAGGTCGTGTTTATCCAGCTCTGTGTCCATTTCTCGCGAACGTGATTGGCTTCGTCTCTTCTCAGATTGCTGGGCCACCGGCTGTGGTTCCGCTACTGCGTCAGAGAACTGTTCCATGCTCTTGTTGCGCGCATGCCGCTTTGTCGTTTGGCTTGGCTCCACCTCGGACTCCACATTGGGCAGGCTGTGCTTGCGTTGGCGCAGATCCTCCGTTGCCGCTGCCGCTGCCGCAGTCGCTTCGAAGCGATCACAAGACTTTTCCCGTATCTCGCGCAGCACGCTTTGGGAGTCGCGCTCGCGTGGCTCGTCGAAGAAGTCGGGCCGCAGAAAGCGTGAGATTCGACGCTGCGAGGAGCGTCTACGCAACGAGCTGCTGCCGTCAGTCACGGCCACGGCCACACTCGGAGTTTGTGGCGGTGGCGACAGGTAGCCGCTCGGTGGACGCCCCACAGCAGCGCTATAACGCTTTTCCGGTACCTCCTTGGTCAACGCGGCCGCATTGCCGGACTTGCTCAGATACGGCGAGTAGTACTTGTACTTGTCATTGATGTCGCTGGTGTAGCTGCTGCTGCACAGCGAGGACTTGCCGTAGTCGTCGCGGCAGACGCTGCTGCTGCGGCTTTTCGCGGCCACTGCAGCTGCACTCGATTCCTGGGCGGGGCCCTGGCTGGGCGCCCGGCTCAGGCTGCGCCGGTAGATGGCCGTGCTGGCCGACGTGGTCTTTGGTGCATCCGTCAGGGGTTTGCTCTTGGCGTCCTCCTCGGGCTGTTCCGCTATGTAGCCACGGCCACTGCTCTGGCTGCGTTTGTACACCTTAATAGCTGGCGTCGTAGCAGCGCCGCTCTGGACACTCAGAGTGCGAGACAGCTTGCGGGCCTGCGTTGGCGGCAGCTTGGCCAGCAACTGCTCCTGGAAGCATTTGGGCAGCCCTGGCGTTATGCTCGACAGCGTTTCGAGATCCTTTTTGCTCAGTCGCAAGCGCGATAGATCCAAGTCGGCCAGGTCGAGTGGCTCCTCGGCGTTGGCCTCGGCTGCGCTCTCCTTTCCATTCTCCGCACCTCCTGGACCTGCTTTGCCTTTGCTGGAGCTGCTCTTGGAGTGATGCCCTGTGAATGGTAGAGGTGAAGGCATGGATTAAGTCTCGAGCATGGTCCGTAGACTCACGGGCGTACAGGGAGCGGGAGCTAGATGCCAGAGCTAGGGGCCAGTTGGAGAGCTCACTTACCTGTTCTCAATGCACACTATTCAAGCTCTTACATAACTTAGTACCTGTTCTCCGAGTCGCTGTCCCGGCGCACCTGTAAACGTTTTGTATGTTTGCAACCAAAAGAACTTTGCACACTGGATCGATCTAGAGTAACATAGCGGGGTTAGCTTGTTAAAGCAATTGGAATTAAACAAAAAATGGCTGATCAAAAACAGTAACAACAATAAGGAACATACAACAGTTCGTTCTCACGTGCAGGAGGACATCAAAAATAACAAAGTTTTGGGTTTTATTTTGTTTATCGTTTTGGATTTATGTATTTAGCAATTCATCAGGTTTAATGACTTTTGTTTCATTTGCAAATTGGTATATAAAATTTGATTTTTAGTAATTAAATGTATTCATGTACGATAATTTAGGAATGTCTAAGTGTATGTAAGTGTATGTGTGTGTGTGTGTGCATATAAAAATATTGCTTATTTGTAATGCTCGAGGCAGCATATAGCCTGCTTGAGTTCAATTAAAATGACTTGAATATGTATAACAATCGATGATTATTGTTTTAGTTTTTAGTTTGTAGATTTTAGATTTTGTGAACAATCTTAGATCAAACTCAAATTGAGCAATTACATAAATAATTAAAGCTGTTTAAAAATAATTAAAAATCACAATCTGCGTCACAAATCTATAACAACATATTCTCTGCTCCTCAGAATTTCAAAGGTTTTTTTTTTTTTTTTTTTTGTTAATTTTGTTTCAATACGCGTTACTTTAACAAAACAAATAAAAATTAGTGTTTAGTCAACAGCATTTGATACATTTATTGCAATATGCTTTCGGGCGCATATCGAACGCTAAATGTGCTCTAGTTGTTAAAATGCGCTGCCAAAACTAATTACAGGTCAATGGAATCAACAATAAACGACTGTGTAGAGTCCAATTGGAAAATCAAATTATTATTTCATTGCGCCAACCAAACAGCTTCCAGCAACAGCATTAGCATTAGTATCCGCATCCGCATCCGCATCAGCATCAGCATCCGCATCAGCATCAGCAATTGCAACAGATTTAGTGTTATGGCCTCTTGAGGTTTCTTGTGGTTGTGATTGTGGCAGTGGTGGTGGTGCTGATGGTTTTAGCTGTCTTGGGTGACTGGGCAGCCGTTGTCTCTTCTTTGTTCTGCTGCTCCTGGCTGATGGTTAAGTGCGGCGCTGTGGCGATGGCGACTTTTCTTGACGTTCTCGTGGCCGTTGCAACAATGGCCGGCTGCAGTTGCAGTTGCAGTTGCGTGTTGGCTTTGCTTTTGCTGCTGGTTGTTGTTGTTGTTGTTGTTGATGTTGATGTTGTGGATTTTGTATTGAACGGGCTGTTGTTAATAGTTATGACATGCTTGGTGGGCGTGGTAGTAGTTAAAGATAAACCAACTGTAAACGAAATAAGCACGAATTGTGTAAAACGGCCAACGAATTGCGCATAATCAAATAATTAGTGAACTAACCAAATATTTAATATATTATGTAAGCCAAAGTGGGGCCCAGATCAGTATGAGTATGATTGAAATAACGGTGGAGTGCATTAAGTCTCGAAATATATAAAAATAAAATAGTATAATAAAGAGCGAGAAGTAGATAGAGAGAGCGAGAGAGAGAAAGAGAGAGAGAGCAGCTCAAGGTTTGTGTTGTTTGCTGATGATAAAAAAAATATGTTTGCGCTTCAGAGAATGACAACAATTAGTAGCTGAACATTATTATTGTACATTATCGTATTCAAAGTTTTGGACATTTTTTTACTTTTTTGTTTTGTTTTAGTTTTGCTTAACTTTGCTAAAACCGCTTGAATAAAATGCACAAATATTTTTATATTTTTTTTGTTGCTGTTGTTTACATTATTAAAACTGCTATAAACAAATTCGTATTGAGTAACAATTTGATTTCTTGATTAAAAATAGCCCAGAACTCAGAAAGTTGTTTTTGGTTTCGATTTGAATATTGAAACAGAATTTGTGTTTCCTTTGGTATTTGTGCCAAGTTAGTTATTGTTGTTGTTTTTGTTGCGGCTATGGTTGTGGTTGTGGTTGTGGCTTGGTTGTGGTTGTGGTTGTGGTTGATCAGCTTTTACACAGCATTAAACAGCGTGGACAAAATTAACTACATCGATAAGCTTCAATTGCATGTGTGTGCTTGTGTGTATGTATGCATGTGTGTGTGCTTAGTGGTGTTATAAATTAATATGTCGTACAACACAAAATTTGGTTTAATTATTATTCAACTAAAAACATAAACAAGAACTTTGGAACTCAAACAACTTGCTTGGTTAGCGAATTTCCATTTTAATTGAATTTCTTTTGTGATTGTTCTTTATGGTAAAAAGGAGTTTAATATTTATATATACATATATATAGAGAGAGAGAGAGAGAGATATGTAAAACTAAAACAAATTTAAGGTAGCGGGGCCATTTGCAAACTGTACAACAATAATTAAAGTAYTATGTATGTATATGTGGATATTGATTAAACAAAATTCTTTTGGTTGTCAAACAATTTGTAATTGGAAATAAAAGAGCCATGGTTTATATATATTTTTTGTTTATTTTCATTTTTTCGTCTGTATTTTCTCTTTGTTTCTAGATTTCTAAAACAAAAGTGGATCGCTTTATTGTCATCAAAATTTGTCTCACTGTAAAATGTAATAAAATTAATTGTGGGTTAAATTTGTTCATTTTTTGGATGTTGGTTGTTAAGATTAAGTACACCCTTTCCTTTCCCTTGTTTGTTTTCAACAATTTAATAATATGGTTTTTCTTCATTTTTGTTTATTTTTTAACAATTTTTAATAACACACGAGTCAAAGTAAATTTATAAAAATTTCGTATTTTTGTTTTTGCTCCTAATTAATTTGTGCATAATTTGTTGTAGCTGTTGCAACATATGAATACGCATACATAAACCTAAGTACATGTATGTATATATGTGTGTGTGCATACTTATTCTTTGTTGAGCATTTTGTTTTGTTGGCCAAGCTAAAATCGTTCGAGACGAATAACTAAATTGTTGCGCAGATATTCAAAACTTTGAATACGATTTCATAATTCACAATTCATTTGTAATATTTCATTTCTCATTTGACCTTTGACATTTTTTCTATCATCATTGCATAACATTTTAATACTTAATAAAATAATAATAATAAAAAACCTTGTTAAGCAAATAATGGAAAGAAAAACTCAAATCAAATAAATATGGGGATAAATAAATAAATAATTAACTGTGCAAACATTACGAAGAGAACAATAAGAGGCACATTTAATTGAGTCGGTTGGGTTCGTTGGGCTACGAGAGCTTAAACATGTCTCTGATGAGAGGTAAATATCCATACATATATATATGTGTATATATACAGATAAATGTATATATATACATACATACATATATATATATATATCATGTATGTATTCTTGTAAATTGTAATTGTAAGCGGCAGCAGCATTAAAGGTTAATAACAAACGTTATTGTGCTCTAGGACAGGTAGCAATAGATCGATAGATATATATGTATAATAATAGATAGATAGAGTAGATAAACATAGATAGATAGATAGATAGATTGATTGATAGAGTACTACTTTTGATATAGTTTCACATCTTAAATTGATGGTAGATATGCTAGTAAATGGATGTGCGCACACACAAAATATAATTATAATAATAATAATAATCAAATAATAAGTCAAAAATGTCAATCAGAATAGAACGGAAAAGGATTTGTCAAAGTATTAATTGGCATTTTCATTTGATAATTACAGTAGACACTTAATTAATTGCTTAATTTGATTGTTTTTAGGGTTGCTTTTTGTTGTTGTTTTTTTTTTCAGGCTGCACAAACTTGTTTAGACTAAATAAGTAGATATAGTAGTAGTACTTGATTTGTTTTGTTTTGTATCTGGTTTTGTTGTTGTTTTGGGTTTTTGTAGTTTCTATTTATGTTTTGTTTTGTTTTGTTTTTGTTTTTGTTTTAGCATACATCAACAACTACTAGAATGGTGTATACAAGTATATATCGAAATTGAAATTTCTTATTTACGTAGCATACTTTTGCAGCTGATATTATTTTACGGTTTACGTTCTGTTCGATTCGTTGCAGTTGCAGTTGCAGTTGCAGTTGCTTCGCTTGGCATCTTCTGCCTGTTGTCTGCCTACTGATCTAAATATTTACTCTTTAATCTGTGATATTCACCTCTTGGCAGCGTGGCGCCCGTGCGCGAGAACATCGACTCCATATCGCTGCCCAGGTCCCGGGACATGCTGTGCCGCCAGGGAGCGCCCAGGCCGCTGCTGTTGCTGGCGCTGTTCAGACGACTGTCAGAGAGACCCAGAGATAGGGGGGGAGAGAGAGAGAGAGCGAATAGTGTTTAATTTCAATTCACACAAATAAATGCATGTGGCATGCGCATGTGTAACATAGCTGACTGTGAGGCATGGCGGACAACGTTTAGCTAAAGGACTTGCACATTGAATGGGCCAACTTACAGGCAGCACTTGGAGCCAGAGCAATCGATCAACCAATCAACCAAGCCCCTTAACAAACGTTGTCCGCATCTAGGAGACACAGGCGCATATGCCAGAAGTTAATAGTTCTATCGTAATAGTAAATAGATTGAGGTGATTTGCAGGCAGTATCTCTATATAGCAGATAGCTCTCGCTACAGTTCATACTTACACTTGCTTCTTCTCAACCGTTTGGGTATAGCTATAACTGACTTGTGACCTATGCTCGCTATGCGGTTAGTTAGTTGGGCAGATTAGCAAATGAATTGGGGGGTTTAGTATTTCGATAGCAGCATGTAAAGAATGTATAACAGTCATGGTAATTAACGGGAGCTCGCATCGATTTGGTATTCTGAATGACCTAATTGCTAGCTAGAGCTGCCTCGTGGGACCAGCCACTCACCTGCCAAAGGGGCCGCCCTGACTCCAGAAGGGCCTGTGGCCCTGTGCCTGCCGCGATATATCTGTCAGCAGGCGACTAGAATGACTGGGAAAACCGGCTGTCAGGTCGCTGTTGACGTTCATGCGATTCGTGAGCGTGCGCACCTGGAATTGGAATACGAAATGTGAATGTGAAATGTTCTTCCTTATGGAATGTATTGTGATTCCCACTTACGCGTTGCAACAATGTCGAGAACAGGTTCTCCGCGGTAAGTATCTCAAAGCCATCTTCGTCATCCTCCTCGCCGGAGCTCTGTGAATCGTTGTCCTGGCTAATTTTCTTGACGGGCCTCGAGCTCCTACGTAACATTTAGTTAAATATAACGAGATTTGATTGGCGTAGATTGGCATCAATTGCTTACCTTAATCTGTGCGGGGTAAAGAGCGAATCCTCGTCAGCGCCATCACGAGTTATCGATGCTGTGCGCATCTTCTGGAATGGCGAACTCTCATCAAAGCCCGACTCGCTGAGCAGGGATCTGCGAAGAAGGTTTAGAGGTTTAATAATGATTCAATAGAGAGAATATTTGCGCTCTCTGCCAAGGCTTACCCAATCCGATGCGCTGGACGCAGTCGGCTGAATGTCGACCGACTGGAGGTGGTTGTTTGACCCGACTCGGATGGCTCAATGCTGCGCTCGCGTGGCGTGATGAAGCCACCGCCCTCCACGGCAATGGGTATAATAAATTCGCGTGGACTCTTCTTAATGGGCTGCGAGATGCTCGGCCCGCCAGTCACAGTGGACTGGGACATGGTGGCGGTTGATTCCGCTTCGGATTCAACAGTGGATTGACGTGACAACGAGCCGGAGCTGCAAGGATTCAGAGAGCTTAGCGACATTGGGAATAAAACTCTCCGTCTTCTCTTCACTTACCGTGTTGTGGTGTTGGAGCTGGTGCGTCCGTAAGCCTGTTGCGTCGGTGGCCGCTGTATGGTGATGATGTGCTCCTTGGGCTCCAGACTGGTGGCGCGCGACTGCAGCGTGGTCTTGATGGGGCTGTACGGCATGGGGCCCTCGCGTGGCGGCGCGCTGCGCAGGTCGGCCACTGGATGCTGCATCTCGGTGCTGAAACGCATCGCCGGCTGCGGGTGCTCGGGCACGCGCGGCTTGATGTCCAGCTGCACCTCGGATTTGGCATTGATTTTGCGTCGCGGCAACGTCGCCGACTTCAGCGTAATGGAGGCGGTCGATGTTTTCACGGCGCCGCCTGCTGATCCATCTCCGCCTGGCGAGGCTGTGCATATGCAATAACAAAGATATTTAGTGATTAGTCAAGCGCTTTTATTGTCAACAAGATGGGAACATGAACGGTTAAGTAAATAAGCATAGAAGTAGCAAAAGTGGGTAGCGGAAGTAATTAAAGGCCAAACAAATTTGGGGGTAAGTAAGTGTGTGTGTGTGTGTGTTCGCAAGCCAAGTGTTGGTAGTTAAGTTGAAGCAGCAGCAGCGACTGGCAGCAGCAACAGCAGCAGCAGCTAAGCAGCTACAGATACGAATATGCACTAACAACAACGAGCAACGAGAACAAGAACAAGAACAAGAACAACAATATCAATATCAATACCAACAGCAACAATTGAAACGGCAACAGATTTATCTACAAAACAGAGCAGAGATACATAAGTAGCTTTGGATTTGTTGTGAGTTCCATTGATGGGCGAAAGGAAAGCAAAGTAAGAAATAGTAACAACATAGAGAACACAACACCGACTACGGCAACAGGTACGGTCGAATATTAATTGAGAGAAACTACAGATACTACAACAACAGAGGAACAACACACACAACAGAGCGATTTGTGGCTGGCTGAGATCTGGCATCGATTGCCCGATAGCCAGCCTCAATGCATCTGCTAGGGGAACGCAACGGATTTGGTTGACGGCAGGGCAGGCGGGCGGTCAGGCAGGTGGGCAGTTGGGCAGTTGGGCGTCGCGTGGCACAGTGGAGCCGCTGCCAAGACTTACATTTCAGCCACACAGCCGCAGGCAAGGCAGATGTATTGAGAGTGTCTTGAGCTTGATTATGAAATGGTCTCGTACGCGAGCTGACATTGTAATTGATAATTGGCATCGGATTGTTGGGGTTGTTGTTGTTGTTGTTGTGGTTGTTGCCGCTATTGTTGCTGCTGCCGACTTGAACGTGGCCATGGCTGGGGGCGTACAGCGGCGAGGGCGGTGGCGTGAACAGAGCGCTGCTTGTAGATCGTAGGTGTTGCTGCTGCTGAGCCTCCTGGCACTTCTGCTGGTACTGCTGCTGCATCTGCCGAAAGGGGCTGCTGGTGGGCAGCGGCTGGAATATGCTCGCCGTGCTGTACGCAGTCTGCGGCTGCCACATGGCCACTCGCTGTGGCGCCGCCGTCGCTCCAGGCACGCCGCCAGAGAAGAGACGCTGCTGCAATGTTTGCTTGGCAGCTGCCAATGCATTAGCCGGACTGTTGTTGCTGTTGTTGTTCGTATTGCCTATGAAATTGCTGGCACTCTCAGTGCGCATCGGTAACGGCAGCATTGCACCGCCCCCAACACCGCCGCTGCCGAAGCCATTGCCCATGCCAAATAATGCTGTTGGCCGGCGTATCACTAAAATTAAGATGATTCAATGATTATGATGAGAATGTGTGTGAATGTATGTGTGTTGTGTGACGCGCACCACAGAGCAAAAGACATGAGAGTGAGTGAGAGAGAGAGAGAGAGAGAGAGAGAGAGAGAGAGAAGAGGGAAAAGACAATGGTCAAAGAGTGGCATATGCTCTGGGTTTACTTTGGGTCCATGAACTGTTTGGCATGAGCAAGCGAGATGCATTCGGACTCGATTCAACTTATAATTAGGAGTGTGCCAGAGTATATTCCAAAAGCCAAAAGTAATCCATGCAGCACTCTGCTGGCAAAACGTTTTACATACACAACAACAGGGGAGAAAGTTATGTAAATATTGGAAATACAAGACGCATTAAACTGAAAGCTATGCACAAGTCTCAATCAGCTCGGCAGATAAGATTAGACATAATCAATCGACAGCTATAGTTTCTTCTTTCTTATTTTAATTGCTACTACTATCAGATTAGACATTGGTTTTGAATAGATCATGGCTACGAATTGCTGGAAATCGGTTTAAAAATGAATTTCAGATTGCAGAAGAAATTGGATATACATTTAAGTTCAAGTTGAACTGATAATTCTTAGAATATACATATA